AGCATCCTTAACACATAAAGAATGCCCCATGAATGAATATGGAAAGACAACCAACCAACCAAAAAAAAAAATGGTCAAAAGTTATAAACAGGCTTTTTACAGAGGAGGAAACACAAACGGTGCACATGAACAGATGTTCAATTTCATTAATAATCAGGGAAAAGCAAATTAAGAGCGCAATGAAATGCTATTTTACATCCAAAGATCTGACAGAAATTAAAAAGTCTTACTCCTAAGTCGTTGGCCATGATATGGAGCACAGGTAACCCTTATACACAACTTGTAGTTATGTAAAAATGTTATAATCACTTTGAGTGGGAAATGTGGCATTATCTTTTAAAACTGAATATAAATATAACCCACAGTCTACCACTCCACTCCTAGGTAGATCGTAGAGAAACTCTCGCATCCATAAACATGCACGCGGGTGTAGAGAACAGCGTTGTTTATACCAGTTGACCCTGAACAACGTGGAGGTTGGAGGCACCTAGCTGCACAGTCCCAAATTTACATATAACTTTTGCTTCCTCATCAACTTAATTACTTAACCTGTTGTTGACCGGAAGCCTTAACAATAACATAAACAGTTGAATAACATATACTGCGTATGTTATATGCGTTATATACTATCTTCTTACAATAAAATAAGCTACAAAAAGAAAGTATTATGAAAATCATAGGAAAAAATACACTTCGAGTACTGCACTATATTTACTGTACTGTGTTTACATCATCTGTTTACAAGATTGTCAGTGCCTACCTCATCTTGTATGATATAAAACATTGTACATGTTACACTTATTACTAACAAGACATCAAAAATGAAAAAATAATGTAAAAAGCAAATTAATATTGCAGGCATATAACGATTCATGCACTGATAATGAAGCAGCAGCAATATGATTGCTTTATGGTAGCCTACTGTAATCAATAGGACTCCTTCACAGTAACCTAGCCTATACACTAATGAATGAATCGTTATGAAATTTTTATGGTATACAGTAGTACAGTCATATTTGTAATATGGTATTGAAAACATTGTTACTTTTTTAAAAACCACTTACCTGTGATGGTAGGCTGATACGCATTATCTCCAATGAGAAGAGAGGCATACTATACAGTAATGTAATTCTTTGAAAGCAAACTCATAAAACAGTAAGAAAACTAATGCATTATCAATTCTATATTGAGTATCATTCATCTTATGCTGATGTAATGAAAATCCACTTCCATAAATACATGATGTTCTACACGATGAACACTTAAGCGATGATGATGATGACACAAAAACATCTCATACAGTTCTTACCATACAGTTATTAGATTTTCACACAAAGACACACACACACATACAAAACTGATAAATTTATTAACTGTACAGCATGATGGTTATTTACTATTCATTCAGTGGAAGTGGATCATCACAAAAGGCCTTCATCCTCCTGGTCTTCACATTGAGTAGGCTGGCTGAGGAGGTTGGTCTTGCTGTCTCAGGGTTGCAGAGGGAAACAAGATGGAGGAGGTGGAAGGGGAGGCAGGAGAGGCCGGCACACTCAGTGTAACTTTACAGACATATCATAATTTGTCTTTTTTTTGCTTTTTCATTTCTCTAAAAATGTTTCTATACGGTACCAATCCTTTTTCTGTTTGCTTTAGTTTCTGTGTCTGTATCATAGAAGGGTCCATGTCATAAGAGAAGTCCAAGTAGTCTTGAATAATTAGAACCCTTCTGCCAAATAGTCTAATGTCAATTTGTTTTCTGGCACTGCTTCTTTCTTCCTTATCACCTGACATTGGGTTGGAGGCACTCACCTCCATCGTCATCTCCTGTTGATTCCCTGGGGTGGTGTCTATTAGCTCTTGAATTTCTCCAAGAACCTCATCTTGAAAGCCTTCACACACACACACACTCACTCACTTTAAAAAAAAATTTTTTTTTAAATTGATTTCAGAGAGAAAGGGAGGGGGAGAGATAGAAACATCAATGATAAGAATCATTGCCTCCTTCACACCCCCTACTGGGGATCGAGCCAGCAACCCAGGCATGTACCCTGACCAGGAATCGAACCATGACCTCATTGTCCATAGGTCAGTTCTCAACCACTGAGCCACACCAGCCAGGCCACACTCACCTTTTTTATTAGTATTTTGTCATATCCACAATCTTGCATGGTTTCCTTAATTGGCTCTGTCATAAATCCTGTAGTCCAGCACCTCTGGACAATTTTCTTTATCTGGGACTTGTTTCAGGTTTGGTGGCTTTCACACTTTTTCTGTAACTACGATGGCATCTTCAATAGTGTGATCCTTCCAGACTTTCATGTTCTACCAGGTTCTCTTCCATAGTGCTGACAATCCTTTCTCGAGTACCATGTGTAATGAACCTTACAGGACTCCCTGATTTTGAGGCTGAATAGACGTTGTTTGGGGGCAAGTAGACCACTTTGACACTTCAGTGTTGAACTCATGGAATTCTGGGTGAGTAAGAGCACTGACTTAGAGCCATTATCAAAAGAACTTTAAAGGGCAGTCCCTTACTGGGAAGGCACTTCCTGATTTCAGGGACAAAGCATTGACAGAACCAATCCAGAAAAAGGGTTCTCCTTGTCCAGGCCTTCTTGCTGTACAACCAAAAGACTGGCAACTGGTATTTATCTTGTCTTTTCAAGGCTCGGAGGTTACCAACTTAATAGATAAGGGCTGTCCTGTCATCAACAGGACTGCACTTGCACAAAAAGGTAGCATTAACCTCTCCCCCATATCCTGCCTTAAACCCTGGTTCTTGCTCCTCTTACTTACTAACAAATTACCTTTGTGGCATTTTTTTTCCCAGAATAGGGCACTTTCATCTGTTCAGGCAGACAGTCTTTCTCCTTAGTTACTCTCTTAATAGGGTTTGGGAACTTTGTTGCCTATTCATCTGCAGAGGCTACTTCTTCAGTTACCCTGACATATTTTTCATCTAAACCTCTAAAAGGACCACACCATTGTTAACCCCTGCAGCCTAAGATCCATCACCTTCCTTTTGCATCAAGTTGTCAAACAATGACTTCACTTTTTCTCAAATTATTCTCAAGTCCAAGCAGCGTGGTCTGCCCAGGCAAGGGAGGGGAAAGGTAGACTTGGAGGTGGAGGTGAAGGCAGAGAGGACACACAAATGTGATACTCCCGTCCGGAGGTGCGCCAGGGGCAGAGGGTGGCGCACACAGCGGGAGCTGTGCTGTCACATGCTAGAGGGCTCACTCTCCTGGGTATTAAACAGAGTCCTGGTGGAGTCCTTCTCCTCACACCTCCTCAGTGCACAGGACAGGCCACCCTCCACCACAGAACAAGATGCCCGGGAAAACAAAACTTGACTACAGAAGGGCTGTGTCCCCAAACACCTGTGTCTACCCAGTCTCTTCCAGGATCCCCTTGAGCAGGATAGGAGCTTACAAAACCAAAGATTTCCCAAACCTGAAATAATAGTAAATCTATAGTTAAGCCCTTCAGCTTTTGTCCTCAGTGCTTAACCCTTTGAGTGCCAACCAATATCCTAGGAACTATGCTAAAATTGCCAAGGCATTTTTGCTGATTTTACAGCAATTTAGGAAAAAAATTATGAATCGCAAGTAAATGAAGTTATGTATTCAGTATCTTCCACAAAATCGTCATCTTCACAGCAAGAATTGACATATTTAGCAATATCATCATCACTAATAAAAGCAGACTTAGAACTGGACACTGCAGGAAGAGCGCGATAGCGCTCCCGGCCCTTTCGGGGAAAGACAGGAGGAGCGCAATCGTGCTCGCCGGCACTCTAGGGGTTTAAACAATGAACGCATCACAGGGTGTCATGTGTGGTTTGAGATAAATAATACGTACCAGAACTTATATGAGTAGCCAGTTTTACTTCTTTTCGGAATTACTATTTACCAACCAATATGGAAATATTTCAGTATTTAGCATTAACTATGGCTATATCCGTGTGCAGAGGCTGAATATCAGGCCTGCTAATACAGAATATGACATGATCTTTGCAAAGCTCAAAAACATGGAAAGTTAATCAGGTTGAGGAAAATACCCATGTGAAAAAATTAAGAAAAATAAAGATAAATTTTTCAACCCCCCAATCTTTTGGCATCTCTTACACTTTCTAGTTTCTTAGAATATTAACAGTGACTATATTCAGGAATATCTTTGATGCCAGGTATATGAGCTCATTGAAATAGGTTTGGTGTTTATAATTTTTCACTTAATACCTCCTCACAAAGAAAATCTAGCCTTTTCAACAAGGCTGAAGATACTTTTGCTTTTGTTAGGATCGTTTTAAGGATATTATCTTTCCCTAACAAGTAGGATTTGGCTTCCTGATCTTAGTTCAGATAGTAAAAGCCCTTTTCATTTGCAATTTTTGTTGTTGACACTGTTTTCCTACCGCTTTGTTTTGTATGTGTCCCTACTTCCAGCTTGGCATGAATCTCTAAATTTTGATCTCAACAATTACAATCCCTCATTGTTCAGGATCAAGTAACCACTCGGTCTCATATTTGCCCTTTTAAAAAGCTGAACCTTGTGAAATTAAGACTTCCTAAAATGACAGATATGATCCTATTTATGGCAATCAGAAGACAAAGGTGCTCTCTCTAACTGGTCAGAAAATCAAGAAGCACAGGAAATGCTGAGAGCGTGTGGCACAGAGAGAGTTCTTATGGATGCGGAGGATGAGGTGGTGCATAAGGAAGGTCTGTGAACACAGCTACTGCAGAACAAAGACTTAAAATCCAAACGACTACACTCAACTCAAATCCACTGTGAAGAAATATTAACTTTTTTCCTCTAGGAAAGCTTAAGTGCAACTAAAAAGTAGAATTTCCAAAACTGCTTTGCAAAAAACGTTGCTTAACACAGATGTTCCTACTTATGTAACTTATCATCTATTTTACATTATCTGGAATTTAGCACATTCAAGAACAAAGTCTTTAGTTCACATAGCAATAAGAGATAACACATTACACACCTTAACCGACCATGAAAAGATTGTTTTATTTCATGAAAATATTCTCAACAGAGAACACTATCTTAAACAAAGCACTTACCATTAAGAAATCAACATGTGCACAAAAAGAGTAAAAATTATTGAAAAATTAAAGTTTTGGGACAATTCACATGTTCAAAATTTAAGAATGATTTAAACTGTGCAAGTACAAATGTCTGTCCTATTGTAATAACCCATATACAGGTTGCACTATTCCACGTGAAGGAACTTGCCTCCTAAGGAAGCAAATCCTGCTTTTAGAAAAACAAACAGTAGCTTGAAAAGAACAGTTAGTCCTTACAAGAAAACCTTAAACTTTGCCCTCTGTGGCTGCTAGCCAAACACACACAAGCACTTCAGGCTTTGTACAGAAGACAAACACAGCCAGATCACATTTCCTCCTCATTGCTACCTTTCAAATACGAATAGCACTAGGATTTAAAACTACTTTATGTAGTCTGTCAGTATTGAGTAATGTCACATTATATAAATAACCCTGTAACGAGATTCAAAATCTAAACTTCATAGTTTACTAGCCTCAAAAGTAATACACTATACGTCAGCTGTGTAACAGGGGCATATTCGATCTTATGAAGACATTAACTTTCACACAATTGTCATTCAGCTTTAGTATAACTAGTATGAATCAAATAACACTGGGAAAAATTATTAAAGCAGTCACACAGCTTCTAAAATATTGCTTAAAATCCAACAATACACAGACCATTTCACGTTCTCTTTCTTCCCTCAAAACAGTAAAGAATCAAATTAATGAAGCTTCCATTGGTAGAAATATTCCCCCACCCCACCCTCCTCCCTATTAAACACCACTAAGAACTTAGTTAAGATACAAGTCATTAACAGAACCACAAATGCGAGGCAGGACAACATGAGCAATAGGGCACTAACGACAATTATATGTACAAGTATAAACATACAGAAATCTCCATTTTACAAGTAAAAGTGCACATAGATCATTACAAAGTTTCACTAACTTTCATCTGGTTCAAACAAAAGCATCACTTGGAAACAGACTATCATTGTAATAATCAAATGAGAACATGGTAACCCCAAATTAAAAGACAAGGGGGGCAGAGGTCCATAAAACTTCTCATAAAAATACTGAGTAAAGTCAAATGGACTTGAACATGTCTTTAGTCTGGTGCATAAATTTGGAGACGCACCGTCAAACATGGTAGAGCTCTAAAAGCCACCTACCGAGGCTGCATCGCAGCTGCAGCAGCCCTGGGAGATAAAGGAGGTCACACTGAGCTGACACATAAAGCCCTTTGTGGGATACTGTAGTGGTAGTGTTGGCAATCAACAGATTTAGGCACTCTAGTTTAAGGCAGCATTTGAATGGAAGCAGCTGACTTCTGACAACAGTCCTTTGTCTTGAGGTGGTGAGTATCTTCTGTGTTCCCTATGCCAGGATTTCGGTGCTGACTATAGATTCTTCCCAGACTGAGGTGCGGAAGATGTATCACGCTTCAAAGAGTTCTTTCAACTGGGCTGTAGGCTAGAGCATAGATGTTTTCTTTTTCTTATCATAAATACTTCAGGTTCACAAACTAGTTCTTCATAATGCCAAAACTGGAATGTTTGCAGTGGGGAAGTTATAGCAGCATACACAAACAACAGGATGAGAACATTAGTGCTGGAGATGTTTGACAACGTGATTTGCGCTACAAATGTAAAACACAACTAAGACTTTGACAAGAACAAGGGATTATAAACACATGCCTGAAAAACCTAACTTGCTCACTCTACACATGCAACAGGATGTTAAGCAAACACAGAAGTGGCGCAGGCAGACACTGACAAATGGCCATGGTTCTAACAGACAATGACTCTAAAAGTCAATTAAAACAGAGCTGGGATAGAGATGGTGCTGGTGGGACCGCCAAATGTAAGACAAATTTGACAGCTCTGCATTCTTTCTGATTTGGACATCATTAAAATAAATGGAAAAAAGGTTAGCCATTGTTAGCTTTTTTTCCTTCATGTGGATAATTGTGAAAGAGGAATTTAAGGACTTAATGATTTTTTAAAACAATGTATGGAAATGCTAATGAAGTTAGTAAAAAATAATAATGTCTGCATGCACTCATGCATCTTGCTTCTCTCATTCTCTCTCTGAGCCTGACAACTCTAACACCCTCCCCCCCAAAAGCAGCTGCATGTAACCTCCTTCAACATCTTGCCCATTTCCTCAGAAACCCTCTTCAGGAACCTGCAGTCCAGGAGGAAAAAGAAAAGAACAATTACTGAAGACCTTTGGTAAGACCAAAAGGGGTGTTCAGTTTAAAGTGTCCGTCCTAAATGTCCCTAAAATTATTTTATAGTCAGCTACTGAAAACACCAGAAAAATTTGTAACACAAGCAAAATTAAAGACAAGGCTTGTAGCTCCTTCTTCACTTCATTCCCAGCACAACTAGCACTGCACAATCCTTGATTGTACAGTGCTACCAACAAATGCTTGTTGAAATTAATTGGGGGAAAAAATCTGACATAACTGGTGACCCAGCTAAAATGAGGACATGCTCTAAACTGTAGTACAGATAACCTCCTCAACCCACTTAATCAAAAGTTTTTTTTTTCAACATAAAACGTGCCAGTACTTCTCCCCCAGTCAAGATTTTCTATCTTAGCTTATTTTAAATCTATTTTCCTATTATAACTGCTAACTAATCACTAAAGTGATATTTCCCAAAGGACATTTTCAAGATAAAAAATACAAGCATTCGATTAATTTGAAAGGGAGCTTGTACGTTCCTGAAAATTACTAGTAAGCCTGAAAATATTATTAGGTCTCAAAAGAAAGCCATTCTATTCACCTAAGAGCTAGACCAGATTGATTTATTTTGGAAGTCTCTTGATTTGTCTACAATAGATTTTGTGCGAGGTACATATTTTCTTCTTTTAGGAAACCAAAATTAATAGGGAAGAAAATGAAAATGGTTATATTCTTATTTTATCCAGTTAGCCAACTATTATGACTTGTCTTCTTGGAGACTGTAGCTAAATTCAAACGCCTATATAAAACCACTCTTTGGGAATCAGCTTTTTATAGCTTTTCATAGCAGTTTTAATTATTTGAATTTATTGAGTTTTCTGAAGTCAAGTGTGTGTATGTACATGTTTGGGAGGGGTGCCTTTTATCTATGAATTCCTGCCCAATAGGTCAAACACCATTCTTTATAAGGCAGAAAAACACAAATCCTTCACACAGACTTAAGCAAGACATAAAGCAAAAGGCATCAATTAAGCTCCACACCAACATCACTCACGTTAAAGCATCAACGAGAACAGTTTCTTGTGGTCATATTCACATCTTTAAGATCGAGCATTCAGCTCACATAGTGAACAATAAATCTTGGATGCCCTTTAAATTTTCTGATGTTATCCCACCCGTTGAGTGTGTTTTTGTTTTAAGTTATCATTCCTATGTCACAAAGCTGCCTGGTTAGTTTAGATGTAAGTTACTGCACCTTTACTGTTTTTCTCTAGAGTTACATCTATGTATGATGTGGGAACGTAGCCTTCTTCACCATTCTGTCTCCGAGCTCTTGTCCATCCATCACCTTTGTCCTCCTCAATAATGTATAGAACTTCACCTTCTTTCATTGCCAGAGTACCTTCATTATGTCCTAGATGAGAGTTTTCATAGTACAAGCATAACTTAAACACAGCAATAATTTCATATAAAAGTTACAACAACACACAAAATAACATGAAACTCTACTAAATTTCAATGTGCCTAGGTCCACTGACTCTCATTAGCAACATCTCTACTTTGTAGCAATACTTTGTAGTTTACCCAACACTTTCATATACATTGTCTCATGTGAACTCCCAGGCTGGCATTAATATCACCCCCATGTAACAGATGAAGTATAAGCCACAATGGCATATGACTTGCAAGGGTACTCTAACTGATTTCACTACTTCAACTTCTTTCCCAAACTTGAGTGGTATTGCTATCTAGAAAATTCATGAGATGTGGATCAGGAAAATAGTAATAGTAGTAGTAGTAGTAGTAGTAGTAGTAGTAGTAGTAATAGTAATCTGAGCTCCAAGATTAAGCTCTCCCTGAAGTCAGCTAATACAACCCTTCTTTAGTTTAAGACAGTGAGAAGGTGGAAAGAATGTAGCTTAAAGAGAGAGCAGAGAGAAAACTACACTCTGGTGATGGTAGAAGAAGAATGCTTATAGCCACAGAGCACAAACTTTCTTTAAAACCTCATCAGCCTCAGGGCTCTTTCCTCTCAACCCCCAACCCTTCCAACCTGCTTAGCAGTAACTATTTGCACAAATGAATCTTCATATAATGTATGCTAAATTCCTTCTCTAGTCTCTGGATTACATTATAGCAATATCTTATTTAATACTAGAGGTGCAGTGCACAAAATTCGTGCACAGGTAGGGTCCCTAGCGGCTGCCAGCGGCTGGCTGGAGTCTCCCTTCCTGGGCTGCTGGCCGGGGCCTTCCTTTGTTCTGCACCACCCCCTGGTGGTCAGCACACGTCATAGCAAGTGATCGAACTCCTGGTCAGTCGAACTCCCGAGGGGACACTTTGCATATTAGGCTTTTATATATATAGATTTTCTTAGAATGAGGAGTAACTAAAGACTTTACACAATTTTAAAACCAATAAAATTGGTGGGGAAGGGCCTTAATTCATATACCATTTTACAAAACAACTTATTTATAAAGGTGTTACTGGGCTGCTCTGTGATTTGAGGAACAGAATTTTTCAGAATCCTTTTCCCGTAAGAGAGGAAAGGGTGAATAAAAGTCTGCAGGAGAGGACCACATGACTTCCTCCCTTCACACAGTTTGTCATCCAACTCTTGCAGAGGAAAAGATGGCAAAGTCAGAAGCTACCATACTCTCTCCTTCCCTCATCTGAAAATGTGGCCTACAGAGTCAGGATATGGTGGCATTCAGATATGCCATTTGCCATGTGCTTGTCTCCCAATGTTAGCAAGTTACAAGGAAGAGCTTGAAGTGACATCCGCCCACCTTCCACTTCCTGGGTGGGCGGATACATGATTGAGCTGCTTGAACTTTAATGAGTACATTAAGCATTAGTCAAATCTCTGGGGGAAATTCTGTGTCAACCAAAGTTGATAATTAAATAATAATCTGTATAAGTATACTGATAAATAGGTAATTTTCTTTTAATGTCATGTATGGAATGAACATCTCTGTATCTGTAATACAGTTAAACAAAAATATTCATACTAATGAATTAGGATTATAATTGTCTGACAATGTACTATTTAGCTGAGGACATTAAAGTAGACAGCTCATATATGTAGACTTTATCATATATAATGTATTAGAAAAATCATACCATCAAAAGGGTAAATAGCTTTGCAGTGTCCAATAGCAGGCAAAGGATCGTCATCTTCAAAGTCATCATCAAACTCATTGTGGTGACCATGCTGTTGGGGTGGCCCACGGACTTCTTGGTTTGCATCATCAGTGTAACTTCCCTCAGGACTATAAAACATAAAATTATCTCTGATCAACTATCACAAACATGGGAAGCTTTTATATTGTCTCAGGATCAAGTCAGAGAATTAAGTATCTGTGATATAGTTTCAAATTAAATCTTTATTTTCTTAAAACTGACTATCTATCTATCTATCTATCTATCTATCTATCTATCTATCTATCTATCATCTATCTATCTATCTATCTATCTATCTATCTATCTCTTCTAAAACAAAATGAGTCTTTGTTGAATTTCCTGAAATTAAAAGACTACAATATTCTAGACACATAGCATGTATTCAGTGAATATCTCTCACTATCACCACCAGGTCCAGAGAAAAAGTAAAGATGTATTAGATACTTGTTTTTCATTATCCTGGATTTATCACATCTCTTTTGCAAGAGGACCCTAAAATTCCTTAGGACCCACCCAGACCCGTGTTCAGTTAAAAGGTTTCAGGTGGCTTGTTCTGTCCTGACTCCAGAGGGCTCATCTTAACTCAGCACTTGTATGGCCAGAGTGACGAGTTGACAAGTAGGACTATAACCCAGTCAGATATAAGAGATGCACAGAGACTTTGCTTGGGATTGTTGAAATAGAAGCTCCCTTTTCCACTGGACTTGAACCTAGAGAAATATGAGCCTAGAGCTTTGAATGATGACCATATGAAGCCTTAAAAGGAAGCCAAGGCAGTGGAAGGCAGAACTGTGAAGTGGAGAGAGCGGAGTCCTGAGGATGTATCATCTGAGCTCCAAGATTAAGCTCTCTCTGAAGTCAGCTAATAAAATCCCTCTTTAGTTTAAGCCAGTATGGGCAGAGTATTTCATTCTGTCACTAAAAACCCAAAGACTCCTAATAAAGTTCATTTGCAACTAATCATGTTACCAGGAAAGTTAGTAACTTAGAAAATAAAAAACTCAGTAATCTAAAGGCATTTTTTTTCTTTACAACTTTTTAAACCAGAGAGAAAAATGTTAATAATTTTGCTAAAGAATCAAATGATTAAGATTTTAATAATGGGGAAATCTATGTGATTAGATTTAACAGCACTTTCAGTATGCCTGGAAAACATTTTTTTTTTTTTACTTTATCTTTATTGTTTAAATTATTACAGATGTCCCTTTTTTACCCCATTGACCCCCCCCTTCCCCCCCCTCTCGTCCCCTCCCTAAGCCTTCACCCACTACTACCTGTGTCCATGGGTTATACCTATGTGCATGTAATTTCTTTGGTTGATCTCTTCCCTGCCCTCTACCCTCTTCACTCTGAGGATCCTCAGTTTATTGCATGCTTTCATGTCTCTGGATCTATTTTGTTTGTCAGTTTATTTTGTTCATTAGATTTCACATATAAATGAGATCATCTGATATTTCTCTTTCACTATGTAGTGGATAAAAAAAGCTGTGGTACATTTACACAATGGAATACTCTACAGCTGTAAAAAAGGGGATCTCTTACCCTTTGAGACAGCATGGAGGGACCTAGAGAGTATTATGCTAAGTGAAATAAGTCAGTGGAAGACATGTTTTTAAATAACACAAGCCAAATAGATTAATTATTAAAATCTAGGTTTTATCTAATAACAAAACCCAATATATTTGGGGGTGTTGTTTGATATACTGAAGATATGTACTCTTTCAAAAAATGATAATGGAGAGGAGAAACTATTATTTGTCAAGAACATACTATAACCAGGTTTTTACTACTGGGTGCTTTATGTACATTACTTCATTTATTACTAATAACCTGAATAAGGGGTATTTTAATCTCTATTTTATATTTGAGGACACTGAGACTCAGAAAGAATTAAAAATGAACTTAATCAAATTATAGTGTAATTAAGTAGTAAACTAAGATCTCTCAAATTCTTCTCTAAGGTGAGTTCTAATATGTTGGACTTTATTTTTTTTTTTAATATTTTTTTATTGATTTCAGAGAGGAAGGGAGAGGGAAAGAAAGATAGAAACATCAATGATGAGAGAGAATCATTGATTGGCTGCCCCCTGCATATCCCCTACTGGGGCTCGAGCCTGAAACCCAGGCATGTGCCTGGAATGGGAATCGAAAAGTGACTTCCTGGTTCATAGGTCAATGCTCAACCACTAAGCCACACCAGCTGGGCTAATTTGTTGGACTTTATTATAAAAAAGAAAAAGACATATTACAATAAGGAAATGCCACAATGATATGGAAACTTAGCAAAGTGCCTTTTGGAAGCTCTGGTCTAAACTAACAATACACATTTTTCACAAAACTTTGAGCAAGTTGACAGTTAAATTTTTCTTTGGCATTAGCTACCCAACTCCATCTATTAGGGCATCTCCCCATGCCTGAGGAGCCTATGCCTCCAGATTACAGCTCCAAGAACTTTCTATGTTCCCATCTCTGTTTTGGGATGCATGACAAACAAACTGAGCAGCAATATGAAATTTCATACTTCACCTATAGCTATTATAAAGAAACAGAAAATTTAGGTTCGAAAGACTGATGTTATTAAAGCCAAACTTGTTAAATGAGGGAGGAAGAAAAAAATTATATGAAGTTTAGAAAAAAAAGTGAGAAAAGTTTGGGAGAAAAGAAGAAATACAAATAAAATACAAAAAAATGACCTTTCTCGTCCCTGTGTTACAAGATGATTTATGTCACTGCTATGTCTTCTGTCTCCTCTCCCACCTGTTTTGCCTTCAACTTCAGAGAGCCATGCCTTAGGAAAAAAATAAGTAAAACTGAGCTTAATAAATACTTTTAAGAGCTCGTAAGATATTCTACATTTAAAATGTGCTTTGAGTTGTTATGATTATGTAATTCTTAGCGAAGGGAAACCTTTATTCCAATTTGGTCAATGATCAACTTTATGGCTAATAAAAAATAGTTTAAGTGTTTATTTTTATATATCATTTTTAATTTAAAAACTTCAACAAGGGACTAAACATTATGTACCATACGATACCTTACTTTTAGTTCATGAGCCCTGAAATTAAATAAATATTTGAAGATAATTCTAGCAAAAACTAACCTATCATGATGAAATTTATACAAATGAATTGATCTCAGACAACTGCTAAACAACAAATCTCTACCTCATTCTTGTGGATTTCCATTCGCAGGCGGTCAATATTATTCATGGTCTCTGCTAATTTAGGCTGCAAACTCCCTGGATCCCCCATTTGTGGATTTTTCTCATACACATCTTTCATTTTGTTGAGTGCTTCTCTGAAAACAAAAAGGAAGCCATAAAATTAAATATTCACTCTATATATTTCCAGATAAAAGAGTTTCATTTTATTTGGGGACTCACATACAACCTAATCTGAAAAGATTCACATCTCTTTTAAGTTTAGTAAAATATTACCTGATTAAAGATAATCTGATAAAGTATGTAGAGTGTGTAATTTATGGAAACACCCTTTAAATCAATTGAAATATCAAAAATAAGTTAGATTTAATTTCTCATTTCTTGCTCCTAAGTGAGATAGATAGATACACACACACACACACACACAGACCTATACATATATGCTTCATCAAAGGCTGGAAGATATTCCTCAATATTCTTAAACTTATCATATCCCAAATCAAACTCATATTCCCATCTAGACATTATTCCACCTTTTCTTAGAGTTCATAGCATCAGCATCCTCCCACCCATCTATACTAGAAATAGAAATGCATCTTTAACTTGCCCTCTACCTCCAAATTCAGTTATTCACCTCCTCTTCACTAATAGTAATAAGAATAGATTATGACTCAATCAGCTCTCCTCAACTCTGACAGCTGACAGTACTGACTTACACTCCTTAATACTCATTTCCTGCCTGATCTCCTGGAGGGTACATTTTCTTTTTCCTTCTCCTCACTCTGCTGTCTTATATCTCCCTCACTGGCTCCTCTTCTCTTCACCCTTTAAATGTATGTTACATAAATAACATAGGTTTCCTCTCATCTCATCCTACACTCCTCCTTCAGAATGATCTCTTATTGTTTTGTTTTTTCCAGTTTTAGTGAGATATAATTGACTCATTGCTTTAATATCACCTATCTTTAGATGATACTCAAGTATATATCTCGTCCTCTTTTTCTCCTAAGTTCTAGATTTGATTTCCAAATCCAACTACATACTTTCATATAGATTTTCACATATTTCAAAACTCAACATAAACAAAACCATGACCTTTGCCCCAAATTTATTTTTTCTGTTTTAATTAAGTCTTTATCTATACTTCTGAGGTAGAAAGCCTCCACTTTTCTCTTCTTGGACATCCAATCAGATGACAAGTCTGACCTACTTTGCCTTTTGAACAATTCTTATCATCTACTCTTTTCTATTTTCAAGACATGGTTTCAACATCTCTCACCTAGCTGGTTTGGCTCAGTGGATAGAGTGCCGGCTGGCAGACGAAGGGTCCCAGGTTCGATTCCAATCAAGGGCACATGCCTGGATTGCATGCTCAATCCCCAGTAGGGGGCATGCAGGAGGCAGCCGATATCAATGATTCTCTCAACATTGATGTTTCCCCTCTCCCTTCCTCTATGAAATCAATAAAAATATGTTTTTAAAAAAGAAGTCCTCTAATCGGTCTCCCTGATGTCAATGTCTTTCCTATAAAATCTACTCTTCATATAGTTTTCAATTATCTTTCTTTAGAATACAGAGGTGATAGTATCACCTACTTTCTCAACAACTTTTGGTGACTCTCCAATACCTCCAGAATTCTACAAAAAAGCATTCAACACTTTATATAATTCATCCTGTACCTTTTCATCCTCATCTTCTGATATTATACTGCACATAATTTCTAATCAAGTCTCCTCCGGCCTAGAGCCAGTTCCAGGCCATGAAAGAATATTCACATTTCTGTGCTTTTATTCTTTGTTTTTCCTCTTGTCCTTAAATATTCTTACTCTCCCTTTATTGTCTAATTTCTTGTCTGACAAAACCCTATCCTCCCATCAAAGTCTAACTCCAATGTTCTGGAAACAAACCAGCTGTTTGGATGTCAACTCTGATATTTACCAGATACCTAACCTGAGCCACATTATGGATATATTTGATACTCAATTTCTCCACCTTTATAACAGGAACAACAACTTCAGAGGGCTATTTTGAGGAATTCAATGTAAAATGCTGGGCTCACTTTGTAGTACATAATAATCCCTCTATAAACATCAGTTTCCCACACAATCACCTTTCCTCTTCCCCCAACTTCTCCCCAGTGATATTTGTCTTAATTATTCCAGTAAGAATTCATTATTTTTTTCCTCTAGGTTCCCCCAGAACTTTATCTCTCTATTAGCAGCTATCATAATCCAGCTTGTACAGAAATTAAATCAATGAGTTTTATCTTTCCTAACTAAAATGTGAGCCTATTAGGATCAGGAACTATTTTATTACCTTTTTGTATCTACTAAAGTCCTGACAGTCTATTACATACAGTAAGCCCTAAATATTACATTATATGTTATAATTTCCCAGAGACCATTTACATGTTGCTCTAGTAAGAAATATTTTAACATTTAAAAATTATTTAATGGGGAAGTAATATACACCATGGTATATACTGTATTGTATATTTGAAAGTGGCTAAAAGAGTAGTTACTCATCACAAGAAAAAACATTTTTGTGACTATGTATGGTGATAAATATTAAATACTTATCATTGTGATCATTTTGCAACATATACAAATATTGAGCCATGATGTACATCTGAAACAAATATGTTAATACGTCAAATATACCTCAATAAAAAATGTAATACTAATAGAGTTGGTCCTCATTATTTGCAGATTCCATATCTGTGAATTGCCCATTTGCTAACATTTATTTGTAATCCAAAAAGGAACACATGTGGCATTTTTATACTCATTAGACATGCACAGAGTGGAGAAAAATTTGAGTCATCTGATTTATGTGTACATTCTCAGCTGAGTTCAAACAAGGAGATACTTTAACTTCTTATTTCTGCTCTGATACTCTGGACAAGTGTCCTTTTTGTGCTCATTGTTGGTGACTTTTCTCTTTATGAGAGCCCGTAAGCGTAGTGCTGAAGTGCTATCTAGTGTTCCTAAGAGGGAGAAGGCTGTGAGGAGAAAATACATGTCATATAAGCTCTGTTCAGGCATGAGCTACCGTGGTGTTGGCGCTGAGTTCAAAGTTAATGAATCAACAATATATATTTAAAAACTTGTCTTTAAGGAAAGCATAAAACAAGGTTATGTATAGATCAGTTAATACAAATGCTGTGACCAGAGGCGAATACAGGAGCCCTGTATTTCCCGTTTTGGTATTCACTCATCAGTGTTCATCGTGACTGTATAGAGCCTAACTGCCACAAACGACGAGAACCGATTATAATGCCTTACTTCACTTATAATTAAGCAGACAATCACATCTGATATATAATTCTTAATCCCTTTAATCACTCATGCCAGACCTTAAGCTCCAATTTTATCTTCAGTGGAAAAGCAGATAATAAGTCACCAATTCACTGTAACAACCCTTTATTCATCATGGCGCTCTATGTTCATTAAAACAAAACTGAAATACAGGAATGTTTTTATAAAATTGGGGAAAAAATAAAGCACTGAGTGAGTGAATCTGAAGCCATAGTAAAGTACTGTTTACCAACATATTTTGCTGCAAAAGAAATAATTATAGCTTCAGGTTTCTACAGAACTCAATTTATATACCAAAGCAAAACGAAATTTATCCAAGCATAAAAGGTAGTTATTGTTGGTGGAACTACTCTTGATAATGAGTCATCAAGTGATTTTATAAATTTTTGGAAGGCATAAATATATATGATTAGCTCCAATAAGTAATCTGCAACCCAAGAAACTCTAACATTTCATTTTTACTTGTGACACAGCAACCATAAGCACTTCAGAGTGTTTTTTCCCCTCAAAAGATATTTCAACTAGGATAAATGATTTTTAAACTTTTTACACATCACACCTAAACACATCATTCAAAATAGACCCTGAAAGGAATAATAATGGTAGAGAGAACTTAATGGAAAAATACTTCTGATCTGATTCTTTCTGTAGTTCTCTGTTGAGTTCGTCAATGCGCTGCTGTAGTTTTTTACGCCTCTGTTCTGGTGGCAGATGACTGAAATCTTCTAGTGCTGTGCCCTGAAAAGAGAATCTAAATGAGTATAAAAAGCATTTTCAAGAAATTTTATTTTTCACATATATCTGTTATAAAATAAGAATATCAATTTTTAAGTTTAATTTCTAATTAGCCCCAAACAATCCCTTTTAAGAAAAAGAAATCTACATAGATATGTGTGTTAATTAAAACAACTGTACTAAGAAAAGGCTCAAATTCCAGTCAGTATATAAAATCATGAAGCAGGATGGTAAAAATAACACCAGATAAAGATATTAGGGAATGACTAGTATCACATTATTCCCAGATCTTGGCAGAGTTAAAATAAATACATACGGATCTTCTTACAGCAACAACAACAAATGGAAACACGTAACATTTCTCATCTATATATATTATTGTTTTATATATAACATATCAACACATCCCAGTCAGCAAATTACAAATGTTCAGACTGAAAATATGAAGTCTGTATAACTGAATTATGTAAGCAACTTACCTCATAAAGACACTCTAATTAATGCATATAGTCTTTGAATGATTACACTTGTAAACCAATCTGTTCTTTAGAACCAAAACATACTTGACAATTAAAAAACAAAAGATCCAGTAAGTGAAATGTAAGTAAAGATTATATTCCAATAAGGAGTCTTTTCCAATTATCCTTTTGTACAACCAAATAATATACCTCAGTTGTTCCTGAAAGAATGATATAATCCAAAGAGAGATATAATCCTTCTTTTGGAAGTAAGCTTGATGTTTGAAAATTTCTTAATGCTTCGTTATTCAAAAAATTATATCATTTAAGGAAAGTGCTAGTATTTAGATGTAAATTTGATTGAAATGATGTCATTCATTTCTTAAATATTAATCATGTTACTGTTACTTTAGTTATTTTATTAGAGATTATACAATGGAGCAAATATTAGCAACTATTGATTCTTTCTGATATAAATCCATATTTACATGGTTTTTATATCCTCCCAAAACTGACGACACCTATCTCATTCTTCTTTTTAAAATAGTTATTTTAAGGATACACAAGTTCAGTTTTTAAAGTGTTGCTGAAGGGAGCTCCCAAAATAAATGCATCCTTGCTCTGTGGGCCACTTGTGCCTATAACATAAGCTAAAAAGCTTTATTTCACCATTATAAGAATGCTTCCCTTACTTTAAGAAAAATGAGAACACTCAATTTTAGGATGAGCCCTGATCAAATGTAACATTTAATTAATAACAGAATCTCTAGAATTTCCCCAAATGGCATTCACATTATGGACATTCAACAAACTTGCCTAAGAAGAAGGAGGACATTTTGTCTAAGTAGCTGTTGTTTTTTAATCTACTAGTCACCATACATAAGAATCTGTCAAATCAATCAAATTTGACCTAAATGAATAAATGGCAAAATTTTCTATCCTTGAAATTTAGCGGTCAATTATCATTATATGTTGTCAGATTTAATCTAATTTATGGTACAGGTTTTGAAACCTATTATATATGTGCCAAAGATAAAACTTTCTAATTTATATTTTTTAAATATGTGTTAAAATTTTGAAAAACTATTTAATAGAGAAAATGTATTCCAATGTAACTTATTTGGTAGTATTATAATAAACTCAAAACTAGCTATAAGTAAATCTGCCAAATTTCCATTTATCCCTAATCAAACCTTGTTCTCAAATTTATTAACATTAGATCCTAGACACTTGCATATGTAATATCCCATTGTGACATTATAACCTGTCCTCCTATAGAATACGAAAAGTAACTCCACTCTGTTTCCTGTGGATGTAAAGAAGACCTCTGACGCATTTAACAACTCTCCTACACGGGAATCCATAAAAGGCTGAATTGCAAGAGTCTGAAAAACAGTGGTTTATTTTCTAAAAGTGAGAAACTATGTAAGAACCCAATAGTTTTAGGCTTACATTTTCACAACGTACTTCCATTAATTTGTCTGAAATACATAAATGTGTAAAGGAACATCTCTCTCTCTCTCTCTCTCTGTCAAATACACACACACACACACACACACACACACACACACACACACGATATTTAGGTTATTTGTCAGAAGAAAGCACTGACTATAATAAATTAGTAGAAAAATTTTCGTTCTGGAAAACCCAATGATTCTAAACTCTCATAAACTCTAAAAAAAATCAAATTTATGTTATTTTTTTAAAGGGCATTTAAAAGGGAAGCCCTGGCCGTGGCACAGTTGGCTGGAGGATTGTCCCGTACACCAAAAGGTTGCAGGTTTGATTCCTGGTCAGGGCACATACCTCAGTTTCCGTTTCCATCTCTGGTTGGGGCATGAGCCAGAGGCAAGCAATCCATGTCTCTCTCCCTTTCTCTATAAAAATCAATAAACATATCCTCAGGAGAAGATTAAAATAAAGTATTTATAAAAGGGTGTTAAGGAAAATCATTTAATTTTCCTTCTATAAAAACAAACTTTTGTTCTACCATGTAACTTTCAAAATAGTGTATATATACACTAAGTGTCTGTCCGGGTAATGACATCGCATAGCAATGCCCAGTTTCCTCTCCCTAGAGACCAGTCTCCTTGCAGTTTCTTCAGCCCAGGAACACGACTTGCTTCATAGTCAGGTGGAAACATTTCATACTTTAAGCAAATTTTTGTGAAGCATTTTCCCGTGCCTCATCTCATCTGATCCTCACAGAAGTCCTAGAGTAGGTAGATAGGAGACTCAGTGGAATCCTATTTTCATTAGCCGGAAAATGGAGATTTAGAAAGCTTAGAAACTTGACCCGACTGAAAAGAAGAAATGGTGGACCTTGAAAATGCCTTCAGGTTTTCTCACTGCACAGAATATAGTCAAACACTGCTGCAGTTAAATATTTTACCCTTTGTTCTCCCTGCGTGATCTACAGTAATAATCTGCTTCGTGTTGATATTTACTGCTGTGTTGCTGACAATTACCTGAAAGAGAAGTTGGGGTGCTTCACTGGGCTGGAAAAAGTTTAGCTAAATCAGAAAGCAGGTCTAATTAAGCAAGTTTATATATATAAAAAGCTAAGTTGACTCGCATATGCGCGATACATATAAAGCTCTCGCTGGCACCAATCGCACACCTGTGTTTCCATCTGTCATTGTTGATCGTGAATGTGGTTGACACTTCCATTATAGAGAAACGACAAATAGCGATATTAAAATATTTCTCCTAATTAATTTCCTTTCAATGTGCACAAATTTATGCACCGGGCCACTACTTTAACTATAATTTTATTCTCTGTAACACTGTAACATGACAAGGACTAAATAAGGACTCAATAACATTCAAGAACTTAATGGACTGATTATAGGTTAACCACATTATTTTTGAATTTTTATGATATCAAGAGGTACTGGCATTTGTTGGACTCTATATAGATTAAATCATAAAAAGAAAAACATATAAGATGAAAATGTAGATCTGTACCTTACTATTTGTTTTGACTTTAAACAAAATAATGATTTGAGATTATTTAATGTTGGCACAGTATATAGATCAGCACATAAGGCTTACCATCTTCCCCGACCACTGAATAGTTCAATGGAAAACAGAAAGAAATGGCAAATTATTCACATGAAACCATAATATAGAAGATGCAATAACCTATATATATATATTTTACAATGTTAAAATAAATCATGTACATTTCACAATCCAAACAATTATGCCAGAAAAACAATTTAAGCACATTTTTGAAAGTAAATTATCTGCAAAAAAAAAACAAAAACAAAACAAAATACAATGATGATAATGGGCAGATATTTTATATATGCAACTAAAACTAAAAAGTAAATAGTAATCATTCTATCAGTAATCATGTATTTTCTTCTTTAAAGGAGCATTTTTACATAAGTGAATTTCACTTATTTAGCTCTTCATTCTCAAAATACTACTATTTGAAAAGTTGAATATAAAAGATTTAACAGCCATTTTAAAAAAATCTTATATAAAGGATTTAAAAATGGAATGCTCTTTCCAATGTATTAAACAAAACACCATTTCCTGAATTTTTATAGTTTAAAATACCGTAGGGTAGTTTTAGGTGAGGATAATATTCCTACTTTAGTTTTAAGGTACTTTTTAAAATGTACAGACACATTAAAAACACAGTATTACCAAAATAATAAATGAATCACTTAGATTCAAGTTCCCTATACATATTTCCTAATAGACACAAGTATATGGGCTGAATTTTGCTTTGAAGATATAGCTTCTATTTTTCAGTTTTTATTCTGAAATCTACATGCTTGAAAGCAACACTGAAAATATAACTTGAATTTTTAGAAAATTGGTTAAAATTTAGTCTTTCTGAAAATATGAAATGACATAGCCAGAGTATTATCATATAGTTATATATACTACACATGTATACAAAATGCACATTCTGTGGGTTAGCAGAGTTCTGCAACTAGCATTGCATCTACCTAGCATCCCAACTAAACACGTGAGATGCATGCACACGTGCAGGTACACAGTATGTTCACGCAAGCACGCAAGCACACACACACACACACACACACACACCCTGTGACCAAGAATACACAGGAGAGCTTTACAAAGTTAATATTCATTGCATTTGGTTAGCAGCCTCTAAAATTTTTTATAATTCCCTGTTTTCTAAATCATAATATTTTAAAGCAGTTTGGGGGATGTCGGGTAGAATTTCACATAAAATTATGAATTTTAATAAATAGCTGACAAAAATATCTACCCCTTATCTCTGATGAATTTGTCATATATAAATGGTTATAATGATAAGAAAAGATGACATATGCTATTCAGTACCTTTCCAAATTAAGCTTAACATTCTTTAGACTGTCAGTAGTTTCAGGCAATAAAACCACAACATCTTTGTAACAAAACTCCTGATGAGATTTAATGGTTTAAATTTTTAAAAGATATTCATGCTCTCTTTAAATGTTATTAGAACAAAATTATATACAGGACAAGAAGCAAACTCCCTATGGTATTGGATTTATCTTTTATAATTTTCACCAGCTAAATTTCTAAGTGATGCAAATTATTTTTTCAGTTTCTATATTAATGTTTTAGAAAAAAACATTAAGGTAATTATATACTGAAATATCAGATGTTTCAATGTTTAGCTAATCAAATTCTGGGGATACAAAAAAACTCAAGTTCTTTGTAAAAATATTAGAAATATATAAAGTAATTCATGTTCAATACAGAAACACCTCACTCTTATATGTAATTATTATATACTTATAATTAGAAAATTTCACATACCCACTATATCTTAATAAATATATAAGGGAGCTATAAAAAGAAATCAGGCAATTAATATTATTAGATGTATTTCATTTAAAGACAAAGAAATTCTGAGAACTGTACTCTGGATAGATAAAAAGCTTACAAAAATTACTTTAGAAGTTTATAAGATCCTAAATAACTTAGAAAATATGGACTTGCTATTGCTAGATCAATCTACCTCCCTAACCCCCCCCAAAAAAGAGTATCCAGTAAGCTCAAATGAAGTAGATATAGAGAAAAAATTATTCATTTCTAAATTAAGTAGTTAACTTTAGGAGTACACCAAATATCCATTAATGGTTAGATTGTGAAGGAAATTATAGACCGTCAGAAATGTAAAAAGTGCCTAGAAGTGATTTAGTATAAAGAGCAGGAGTTCTCTTCCATAGAACACATAGGAAAATTGTTGAGTGTATCCTAAGAGTTGTCATTGCAAGGAGAAATCATTTTTTCTTTCTTTTTATTGTGTTTACATGTGATGATAAATGTTAATTAAACCTATTGTGGTTATCATTTCACAATATATGTTAGTCAAACCATCATGCTGCATACCCTAAATTTATACAGTGATGTATGTCAATTATTTCTCAACAAAACTGGGAAGCCTGGCTGGTGTTCCTCAGTGGTTTGAGCACTGAACTATGAACCAGGAGATGGTTGCATACCCCATCAGGGCACATGCCCAGGTTGTGGGCTCGATCCCCAATAGGGGTCCTACAGGAGGAAGCCAATCAATGATTATTGGTCATCATTGATGTTTCTATCTCTCCCTCTCCCTTCCACTCTGAAATAAATAAAAAATATATTTTTAAAAACCTGGGGGGGGAAAAAACTTAAGACTTACTTTGTAAGTTTAACTAACTTGCATGTAAATCTATGTCAAAACACAAAATGTGGCTTCTTAAAGTTTATCTTTTTTTATTTTTCTATTTTGAGAAATGGAAGTAATCCATATTTTTAAAAACCTGGGGGGGGGAAAAAACTTAAGACTTACTTTGTAAGTTTAACTAACTTGCATGTAAATCTATGTAAAAACACAAAATGTGGCTTCTTAAAGTTTATCTTTTTTTATTTTTCTATTTTGAGAAATGGAAGGAAACATCTCTATGGATTACTTTTGAAATATATGTAACCAATCAAAAAGAAAGCAATTTCTCAACAGCAAGGCTGAATTGAACTTTCCTTCCTCCTCTCTCCTGTAATCCCCTAGATTTGTCTGTCATATTTTCTATCTTGTCTACTGCTTCTTTCTTTGCCATGATAAATAATTAAAAAGTGGGAGGATTTTGGCTTTCTGGAACTAGGCCCTCCAAAAAACAATATACTTATATTTAAAATTAAAGCAATATGTGGAATTAAGATGGTGACCAAGCAGGTACTTTTAAGTTCTATAGTAATAAAATTTAACCATAAATTTTCCAATAAGAATGAATATGTCACATATTTAAGCTTCTCTCTCTAGGACTCACAGTACTAAGTGCCTGAACTTTTTTTTATAGAAGTACAGTTACTTCATATTCCATGACTGTGCTGTGTAGTGTACTGTAACTGGGCTTGGTAGACTCAATGTGTAGGATACATAAACGGTTACACAAAAATATGGCTACTAAATAGTAATTTCTCATGACTTATGTAACAATATTTAATGTATTCTCAATCATCACAGAAAAGATAGGAATTAATTCTACCCTCAAATTCAGGCAACAGAAATCCCAAATATGATTTCCATTGCTTATTACATATTGCCTATAGGTATAATGCACACTCATTCACAGGGACTTTTCAAAATGTCATTAATTACCTATAATATCATCCACATACAGAATTAGGTAAGGTAGATGTAAAAAAGTTGGTTTCATTATAGGAAAAAGGGAAGTCCAAAAAGGGACATAATACACTAAGACATTTCTGCTGCATTACTGACATTACTGTTTTGTGGAGAATGTAGATAATAATGCGATCATGCCCTAAATTATTATGTTCTACACTGGCAAAAACGGAAACTGAACTAAAGCAGTTTGAAGATAGAAAAGGCTGCTAAAAGTAAGAAAAAAGACAGACAGGCTAAACAGGGAAGGAAAGAGAAGAAAAGAAAGAAATGAGAGAAAAGGAAGGTGGAAAGGAAGAGGGGAATAGGGAGGGGAGAGAGAGAGCACTAGCAAGAGGGAACCCCACTACACTATATTACTGTTAATAAATGATTAGACTTCATATGACACAGACTCTGTGGGTTATCACACCTTTGGTTTTCATATCTGTAAACAAATCTCATAAATGTATATAAATTATGAGCTATGACTATTATAAACATAGCCTTAAAATCAAACATAAACAAGAAAAAGTAGTCTAACAAAATGGAATAACACTAATTTATTTATCAGCAGTATAATGTTTGTTGCTAAGAAACAGTTTAATATTTGCTTTTTACTATTCTAAATTTTCTCATTTGCAGAGCATCTTTAGTTATAAGTAAATGCCAAAGGCTGCCCAATTTTTAAAAAGAAAAAATTCTGGGGGGGGAAAAAAACTTTACTTTTTTTTAGTTTAACAAATTTCATGTAAGCATTACTCAATAATATCTACTATTTTTATAGGCTTTACAATTTACAAACTATCTTCTAATATATTACCTTAATTTTATCTACAATCTTGATATTTAACATGTTTATCTTTAATTTTTTTAACTATTAGAAATTGTATTTTATGCTTCAAAAAGTAGGGCAATTAAAATTGAACTTGATTTTTTGTCAACAAAATAATGCTTTATAAATTGGCAGAAGTCATCATTAGTGACAAATTATTACATGAGTAACTCCAGTGACAAATTACTGAAAGTCTTAAAAATGTCAATACATTACAAGACAATGGTGGACATATGATTTCACATAAACAAAAAATAGCTAATATGACTGTACCCAGCACCCTCTTTATAATACCATTCTTTTATGGTTGAGCATTTCAAATGTTATAAAGAGGAGTTATTTTTAACTTGAGGGCAGCTATACTTAATTCTGTGGTGTTTTTAAACTACATATTTATAGGAGAGAGAGCCTTATAATGAGGGTGGAGAGTATTAAAAGCCACACTACACACACAATAGGCCATCATGCATTTTAACCCATTATTAAACTTACCCCTCTTTTGAGACTTCTGAAAGAAGGAATTCTGGGCTTCCCTGTTTTTATTTCATTCATACAATAATGCACGGGCTCAATGGAGAATGTGAGAAACTGGGACCCATTAGGAGTACTGGATGTGAATAAACTAGTAGGGGTTAAGGGTGGGGACTGTGGCTAATATGGAAATAAAGAAAGGAATCAATAAGCCAAATGTGCATAGTTTTTTTCTAAATGAAAATTCTATTTTTGGCAACATACTTTTCACAAAATATATCTCAAATAAAGCTTTCTATAAAAATATTATAAGAAAGTTAACATAGTTTTGCCAAAACTATCATTTTAAAAAGTCAAATTTACTTTTAAAAATGTACCATTTCATTTTATCATTTTTTTTACAAACTGACAGATTAGAAATATAGAGTACGCAAATTATAATGTTAGAGCAATGTGATCTAGATTTTTAAAACTGTCTTCTGATTTCTAGAATATTAGCACTACCTTTACTTAACCTGTAGCTGTCAGCAATAAAGGCAGCAGCGACAGTAAAAGTTATCTATAATAGGTAATGTAATAGTTACAGTTATAAAATGTTAAAACTGTAACTATTATCACAAATAGGCAAAAAAATTTCATTACACTTGTGGCTTTCTTTTCAGACTATTTCTATTTCATCCTTATTTTTCTTTTAATTTCAGTATTCCTTATTTATCTAAGCTCTCTTAGCTACTCTGATCTGACAAAGTCACTCTTAACTTCTTGACTGGATAATATTATTAAAAGCATGAATAAAGCTTTAGCTAACTATAATGGTGATTTTAAATATACACACATATTATAATTTTATCTACATTCATGTCAAAATCAGAAAAATGTATTAAAATAATGATGTATGCTTTAATAAATAGATAGATTAAAAGTACACTTTCTATTTTCCTGATATAATACTATTATAATCACTAAATTGTTAAGAAAGACTAAGCTCTCCTCTATTCCATTTGCTCACCTGCTGAGCTAGATTTATCTATCTAAAATAAACAACATATCAAAAGACAGGTTCCAACAAGAAGAGTGAGATTTTCTTAGTAAACTATAGATTTTTTTAAACTTCAAATAACCACAAACGTTGAGCCCTTCCCATTAAATATTCACATGGATGATAAAAAAAACATTATTAGAAGTCCTAATTTGGTATTTATCATTACTGTGGTCAATCATTCATTCCAATTGAGAACTGCAATTTTAGTGTTTATATAATTAGATCATAATGTTTCCTTAAAAATTTTGATTGAAACTATACACAAATGAAATTTCAAAAGCATATAATTAAGAGACATTTAACAAATTATTTTATTCATTATTAAGTGGTGGTCAAATGTTAAATCTAAAAATAATTTTTAGATTTATGAAAGAATAAAACTATGTTTCTAATAAGTGAAAAATAATTGAATCATTCAACATATTTATTTTCTATTAATATTAAACCATTATCCATTCGATACCTACATTCATGTAAATGACACACTAAAACAAAATTATTAGCATAGAGAAACTTTATGACTTTTACCTTAGGCTTCTTTCCAAAGAGCCACAACTTGCCCTTGGCCTTTCCTACTGTGGTTTTGGCATCCACCTTCCCACTTTCCTGTTTGGATGCGCTGATAGTCCCATCAGAAATGGTTCTATAAATATGCTGACTGTAATCTTCAAATGGAAAGTCTCCTGGAGGTTCAAATCCAGACTTGAAGGAGTCTACTACCATTTGAGAGTCCTATACACAAGAAACGTGTTTTAAAAACCATTCCATTTGTTCATAATACCACATTAGCTTTCAAAACTTTAATCCGTTAAAGAAAAAAGAAATAAAAAATTTAAAGAAATAATTCTACAGTAAGCATCTAAGGGTTAAAGTAAATAATTTCTTCCTGTGACTTTGCAATAAACCCTATTTTAATCCCAACAGAAAACAATGCTAATTTACAAACAAATTAACACTTTCTTAATTTGTAATATTCATGAGTGTTTTCATTCCATAGCTTTACCCTACTGAAATTCATCTGAGGACTAGTTAGCTGATAAGAAAGGTCTAACTGAAAGAAAGGAATATAGAAAAGGTTATTCCCAAGTAGAATTACAAGAAGTTTCAAAGGAAGAAGGCCTTTTGCTTTGAGATGTCTATGAAGAAGTTGACCTTTGGAACAGATAAAAGGGCATCTAATCATAAAAGAAAGTAAGAGACAAGTAGAAAAGCTTTCATTCATCCAATGGGGAAAGGATAAATAAAATACATTAAATACATACTCAGGAATGTTAATAGAGCAAAGGAAAAAGATCTCACAAACAGTACTGAGTGCAAAAAGCAACTTTGAAAATATAAAGTTCAGTACCATTTAACTAAAATTTTAAAACTCGCATAAGTATTACATTGTAATTTCGGACATACATACTCTATCCAAGTATTCTAATGACATCTTAAACTCATTTTTTCAAACAGAATACTTTAATCCTATAAACTCCTACCCACCCTAACCACCTCTTCTTTTATTCCCTACTAGAGGCCCGGTGCACCAATTCGTGCATGGATGGGGGGGGGGGGGGCGGTCCAGCCAGCCTGCTCCGATCGAGGCTGATCAGGCCAGGCTGGTTGGGGAGAGGGACTGTGGCTGGGGAGAGAGGCCACAAGTGGTTGGAAGGTCAGCCCCACCCCCGATCGGGGTTGTGGGGGCGGATGGAGGGCATGGCTGGCCAGGGGGAGGAGCCACGGGCAGTTGGCAAGCCCCACCCCCTGGTCAAACTCCCCAACCAACTCCCAGTTGAGGGTACAATTTGCATATTAGCCTTTTATTATATAGGATTACTGTTAATAGTACATTTTGCCTGTCATGTAGTCAAAAGTCATCCTTAAGTGATACCTTAATTTTGTCACTAATGCCATCCCCACTAATCATTTGCTAAAGGGTAAGAAGAGTGATAGAGGAGGGACCTCGCTATATTTATAACTTGGATCCAGCCATGCCAATATACAAATGTACCTCTGAATTCCCAATTAAAACACCCCAAAATCTTCTAGATCTCGGTGAGCATCTCCTACTCTAACCTGTAACTAAACCAGTGGTTGGCAAACCGCGACTCGCGAGCCACATGCGGCTCTTTGGCCCCCTGAGTGTGGCTCTTCCACAAAATACCACGTGGAGGTGCGTACATACAGTGTGAAGTTGACTTAAAACTTTAAGTAAAGCTTATTAAGTTAATTTTAGGGAACGTTGTGGAGTGAAAGATGTAGTGTCAAGGATTGAGAAAGGTATGTTGAGATGGTTTGGACATATAGAGAGGATGAACGAAAGGAGATAGACGAAACAAGTATACAAGACAAGTGTGGATGGGAGAGTTGGAAGGGGTCGACCTCAGCGAACGTACCTCAATCAGATTGAGGACATTTTTAGCAAAGGCCAGCTTAGGAGTACCCTAATTAAGTTAATAACAATGTACCTACCTATATAGTTTAAGTTTAAAAAATTTGGCTCTCAAAAGAAATTTCAATCGTTGTACTGTTGATATTTGGCTCTGTTGACTAATGAGTTTGCCGACCACTGAACTAAACTAATAGGTTAATATAGTATTATAACATGGTTACAGCTTAATTACATTCTTGCAGTATAACTGAAAAATTATTGGGGGCAGGCAATTTGAATTTTAGTATTTATAATGGTCCTTGGAGTCCAAAGGAGTCCAATCTATTGCCAGACTTTCTTCTACAGAATATAATTTAGAATCAACTACTACCAATTTCTTCACCCCTTTTCCAATTCATTTTACTAACTTAAACCACACACCTAAACCAAATACATAATTCAAATATAATTATATAGCACTTACTCTTCTTTCATCAACTGATTTTGCTGCAAGAACCATTCCTTCCAAACATTTTGAAATGATAGGAATAACTTTGCGTTCTGAGTCTGCAAATCCTCTGTAACACTCACTGAGTTTAATAGTCCTTCGTTCATCCATTTCCTGGAGTTGCTAATAATCAGAAATAAAAAAATAAAAACATCTTTTTCTTCATTCTGAAGCAACCCACCCTCCTCAAAAAAAAACTCAAGTTCTACCTTAATAGTTATACTGTTTTTAATGCCTTTTAACAAGTGCTATCAACCTATAATACTTAAAACTTGAGGCCTGTTAAATAGCAAAAGAAATAAAAACCAGGCAACACTGGTTTTCAAACCATCTAAAGCAGTGGTTACCAACCTTTTGGACCTCACAGACCACCAGTGGTCCACAGACCACAGGTTGGTGACTGCTGGTCTAAAGATATCCCTACAGCCTACCCACCTTTCTCACACTTGATTCATACTGCCTCCACCTTTCTTTCCTTTAGATCAGCGGTTCTCAATCTGTGGGTTGCGACCCCTTTGGGGGTCAAATGACCCTTTCACAGGGGTCACCTAAGACCATCGGAAAACACATATATAATTACATGTTGTTTTTGTGATTAATCACTATGCTTTAATTATGTTCAATTTGTAACAATGAAATTGGGGGTCACCACAACATGAGGAACTGTATTAAAGGGTCGCAGCATTAGGAAGGTTGAGAACCACTGCTTTAGATGCTGTTAATACTTCAGGAAAAGTTTTATTTGAAGACAGAATTTTGATGTTTCTTTTTTCCTTTTTAAGCAATTAGCCTATGACATACAGAAGTCTGAGACTTCTAACCCTTAGGTTAGTTCAGAATACTTTGGTAAGATCTGGCTGGATCAAGGATTTACAGTTGACTGTATACCAATAGGTACGCAGAGCTATCACAGTCTACAGCTCAGAGTATTGTCACTCTGAGGGTTGGGGGCACAAGAGGGAAAACAGACAGCCACAGGTATATATAAGGGATTCTCACAATTCAAAAATTCATTGGCACGTGCCACTAAGAATTATGCTGGTACATATGAAGCCAAACAACTTAAGAGACATTTTTTTTGGCACTTCTTATTTGCCAATATTGACCGTTCTTTCTCCTAGGAAACAGCTACACTGATCAAATCCCAAAACTCCAACAGCCTTCATATAACTTTTCCTCTTTAATTATGTGCTAAAGCCTGGGAATTTATTTTGAGACCTGCAATTTCACACACAAAAAAACTGTTCCTGCTGTCACAAAATGGCTAGACTGCTCCATAGCAAGGTCTAAACACAAGGACCACGTCCCAAAATACAAATAGTAGGTGGTCTCCACGTTAAGGTCTCCTAAGAATATAAAGGCTTGGCTAATAAGCCTAGAAAAGCACCACAGAGTGAGGAGTGGCAGGACAGATACCCGAGATTAAATGACCGGAATCTGATACCCACTCTAGCCCACCTCCTCTCACAATGCTTCACATGTACCTCTAACTTGCCTTACAAAGAAAAAAGTACATTTGAGCTGACATTCTTCCCACATACGCTCTGCTCTCCTAGATCCAACTTCTTTCAACACTTTCACTAAATTCCTTTTCTCTAATTTCTCTTCTTTCTAGAATAGATAGTAACAATTTAACCTTCATGGAAATTCTGTGGTCTTTACCTGAGGCTGTTTGGCAACTGCCATCATCAAGTGATGATGGATGGGATTTGTAGGCAAGCTAATGCCTAAATTACATTTATGATCTGGCAGGTAGGAAGACAAGCAGGCAAAAATCAGGCTAGCAAACACATTTTATAAGATTTATTTCTGACACCTAGACTAATGCCAATGATTCTGATAGAGTGTCACAAAGCTACATCCCAATTCTAGGTGAGCAGATTACAATATACAATTCCAATGAATTCCCCCTATGTCATAATGCTTAATATTATAGCATTCAAATTTATTTAGAAAGTGCCATTGTTTTAGTGGACTGTTTATTACACTAATAATAAATCTATAGGAAAACTTATCATTTCAAAGTTAGGATATATTTAGTTTTCAAAACCATAATAATAATTTCTTACTACCAATCTTGATGACTAATGAATCTAGAAAAACTCTGATTGATGCCTGAAATTCAAGTTTTACATTTAAAGAGTAACTATTCCAATGCTAAAACTAGATTAATTTCATATACTTAAAGTTTACCTTGTAAATCTGAGGAATCACTACGTAAAAATGTTTGTGTTGTTCTCCATTAAAGTTTTGTAACTGTGCAGCGTATTCATTTTTATTTTCATCAGCCATATGCGTCCGCAGATTCAACTGCTGTTTGGCCTAGAAGCAAATTGGTCCAAATCATTATCAACAAGAACAAAATCAATGCCACCTTGACAATGCCAATGATTCTGGTACAGTGTCAAAAGCCACATCCCAATTCTAGGTGAGCACATTACAATATACAATTCCAATGAACTAAAGCGCTAACACAGTTTTGTAAAAGTTATACTAAAACTAGATTTTCTCTACTGATATCATTTAAAATTTAAGGAGATGACTGCAGATCTTATAGCCAGAACAGTCTCCCTATGGCAATATTCCCTTTCTCCTCGTGCAGTGGTTCTCAACCTTCTGGCCCTTAAATACAGTTCCTCATGTTGTGACCCAACCATAAAATTATTTTCGTTGCTACTTCATAACTGTAATGTTGCTACTGTTATGAATCATAATGTAAATATCTGATATGCAGGATGGTCTTAGGCGACCCCTGTGAAAGGGTTGTTCGACCGCCAAAGGGGTCGCGACCCACAGGTTGAGAACCACTGTCTAGTGCAAGCGTACTCCCCCTTGCAACAATCCAATCAAAGTTTCCCCTTACCAAACTGAGATTGCTAACATTTTTTAAATAAATATTTGAAAACATTATGGCTTGAAACAGTAAGCTTTTAATCAGAGGAGAAAAGCAGCATCAGGAATATTTTAAAAGTTAAAAAGTTAGTAGTAAAACATTTCTTTAAATGTGTTACACTTACAACCAACTCAGAACCACAATAAAACCAAAATGATAAGATGATTTTGGATAAAGTAATTGTCAACAATGATTTTCATCTCTATACGTAACTGCAGGCACTTTAAGAAATGCTTATTTAGAAAATAGTTCTGTTCATTTTCAGCTCTTGTAGAAATGTTTTTCCAATGGGTCATTTTAGTATCATTTACAGTGGTGAGAATGTTAGACTACAAACAACACAAATCATTAATTTCAGATATATTAGAAGGGAATCTAAACAAATTTCTCAACTGTTGTAAATAGATTAAAAACAAAACAAAATAAAACTTGAATAAAATTTTTCAGTGTTCCAAAGACTAAATCATATTATATGACAGTGTTTTGAAAATTGTAAAGCACATTGTAACTACATTTCATTGTTCTAATTCCAGTCTCTACAAACGGAGACCCTGACCTCTAACACTAGGTCCACAAGGTAGTTCTTCTCAGCTCAGAAACATACTGGCCTATGTGGAAATATGTGGTAGCCAAGATCTCCGATAAGCCCACTTAAAAAGCCCATTTAATCCACAGTGGACTTAAAACTTACACTAAATAACTACTATGGAAACTAAACACCATGGTCCAAAGTACTTCTAGAGAAAAATACATTTGAAGTTCCAACCTGGGACCCTAAGTACACACATTTATTCATTCCTTTCTATTTTTCCCCTTCCCCAAATGACTCCCTGTTCATAATGGTTGTCAGGGGAAACTCCTTTTGCTCCAAGTCACTGGTTGTGATCCCTAAAGCTGGGGACAAAGGTTGCAGCGGAGTATTTAGGAATGCAAGGCTAGAAGCTAAAATAATTGAAGCCTCTCCTGGTATATTCTGGACTTCACATTTATTGCCTCTCCTTTCTTTTTTTATTATTGCATTTATTTTTTATTTTAATTGTGGTAAAATATATATATATATATATATATATATATATATATATATATATATATATATATAACAAAATTTACCATCTTGCCCTAACCCAGTGGTCGGCAAACTGCGGCTCAGCAAACCGCGGCTCGCGAGCCACATGCGGCTCTTTGGCCCCTTGAGTGTGGCTCTTCCACAAAATACCGACTTCTGTGCATGGGCCACGAAGTTTCAATTGCACTGTATGTGCACGCCCGCACATGGTATTTTGTGGAAGAGCCACACACAAGGGGTCAAAGAGCCGCATGTGGCTCGCAAGCCACAGTTTGCCGACCACGCCCTAACCGGTTTGGCTCAGTGGATAGAGTGTCGGCCTCTGGACTGAAGAGTCCCAGGTTCGATTCCGGTCAAGGGCATGTACCTTGGTTGTGGGCACATCCCCAGTAGGGGGTGTGCAGGTGGCAGCTGATTGATGTTTCTAACTCTCTATCCCTCTCCTTTCCTCTCTGTAAAAACTCAATAAAATATATTTTTAAAAAATTTACCATCTTAATTATTTTTAAGTGTACAGTTCAGAAGTTTATATATGTTCACACTGTTGTGCAACTAGCTTCCTTTTCTTTAGAAAGATCAGTGATTAAGCTGCTCCCTCCCATTTCTTTTTTTAAGCTTTTATCAGCAGTTGCTAAAAACTATGTTCCCTTCCCTCCCTGTTCACTTACAACAGGACTGCTCTACTCTCTAGTTCCTAAAGCAAATCCTCAAAGTTTTCCTAATTCTCTAAAAAATTAAAGGAGTTGCAAACAAATGGGCAATAAAAAGGAAGCTGTAAACATTAAAATTCTACAAGTTAGGCCAAACTAACTACTAGACATGTTATATCTAGATTTCAAGATGTTTGACCAGTCTTTGAAGATATCTCTGCAGACAAAATGAAGAAAAAAAAATAAGTTAAATGAGAGTCCAGCTAAAGAGTTTCCTTAATTTATCTAGTATACAAACTGTGCCTTGTACATAAATTATGTATTCAACTAGAGACCTGGTGCACGAAATTTGTGCACTTGGGGGGAGGGGTCCCTCAGCCCAGCCTGCACCCTCTTGCAGTCCGGGAGCCCTTGGGGGATGTCCAACTGACAGCTTGGGCACACTCCCTGGGGAGCAGGCCTAAGCCATCAGTTGGACATCCTTAGTGCTGCCATGGAGGCAGGAGAGGCTCCCGCCACCACCACTGTGCTCGCCAACTGTGAGCTCAGCTCAGGACTTCTGGCTGAGCAGCACTCGCCGTGTGCGAGTGCACTGACCACCGGGGGCAGCTCCTGCGTTGAGCATCTGCCCGCTGGTAGTCAGTGCGCATCATAGCAACTGGTCGTTCGACTGTTCAGTCAATTTGCATATTAGCCTTTTATTATACAGGCAGTCCTTGGGTTACACTGGACTCGACGTACATCGTTTCGTGGTTACGTCGCCATCTCCCATTTACAGTATTTATAAAAAAAAAAAGTTCCGTCATTTTGACGTACGTACATATGTGTTTTATGTTTTTAACTATTTATTTACCACAAGTAACGGTCAGGAACTGTTATCTTTCATTTAAATTTTTTTTACTGTTTCACTTCATTATTGTTGTGTATGTACTCTATGTGAGTGATGTAGGTGCTTATGTAGGTAGGTTCCGACTTACGGCAAAAATCGTGTTACGTCGCGCTGTAGGAACGGATCTCAGACGTAACCCAAGGACCTACTGTATAGGATAATCAGTATTTGATAATAAGTCAAGGAGTTCTTAAAAAGTCAGTGTCAACCAGCAAGGAGTCTCCCATGTAAATAGTGTTGTTTAAGCTGCACATTTGGCATGCTTTGTGTTTTTATTTGGAGTTTATTTTTCATTGCAGATTTGGCAATGTACAGTAAATTTTATAAATTTGCATCAAGTTTATGAATAAATCATTTAATAAATAAATAAATAAATAAATAAATAAATAAAGTTGTTTAAACTGTTGTGGTTCACATTTTTATCAAGTAATGACAATACATTATGTGTATGACGATGCTAAGAAAGAAAGTAAAAAAGATGATTAAAATCAGGATCCCAAAATCTTAGCAGACAAATCTAATAATTGATTCAGATGTACATATGAATTTAAAATACCAACAGTACAGAGAGATACACACTCTCATACCACACCATATATGAAAAGACATGGGGATTTCATTTAACCATAAACTCCATGGGAGTCAATCCACACAATGTGGTGCCCAAAGAGTCAATATACCTGTAGGTTACAATTAACATAAATTTAGTGCTCAAAACAAAGAGGTAATCGAATTCAGAACTGATCTGACCATACCTGGATTATTATACCCACCTTGAGCTAACATACTTAAGTGGAATAAAGGAAAATAGTCACACTGAAAGATAATTTGAAGCTATTTCACATGTGGAATAGTTGAAAAAACACAATAGTTCACCTATGGGTAGAGAATCTGCTACAAATATTTAGAAAGCTATTATAAGAAAAAATAAATTTGATATTTTTTGGTACCTCAAGGAAACTAAAACTGGTCAGACAAGTGGGGTCAATACAATGAAGTGTTCAAGTTGAAAAAAAATCAGACTATCTGAAGACCATTATTTTCAATGACAGGGACTATCATTAGAGGTAGAAGTAATTAAAAATAGGGTAGACAAGATATAAACATTACAAGTTATATAAGAAGACCTTCAAAGTAACTATAACGCAGAGTTTATATAATCTTAGGGTTTTTTAATGTAAAGAAAATGAAAGGCAGAAAATAAATTATAGTCAGCCCTTGAACAACAAAGGTTTGAACTGCACAGGTCCACTTATATGTGAATTTTAAAAAATAAACACTGCAAATGTATTTTCTTCTAATGATTTTCTCTTCTTGATGATTTTCTTTTCTCTAGCTTACTTTATTATAAGAATACAATCTATAGCAGTGGTTGCCAACCGGTGGTCCACGGACCACTGGTGGTCTGTGCGGTCTGAAAGGTTGGCGACCACTGATTTATATAGTACATACAACATACCAAGTATGTATTAATCAACTACTTATGTTATTGGTAACAGCAGGCTATCAATAGTTAAATTCTGGGGGATTTAAATGTTATATGTGTATTTTTGACAATGAGTTGTTCCAGGATCAACTGTATTCTTCTCTTCCTTCTACTTTTTCTTGTTCTGATCCTGTAGGAAATTATGAAATCATAAGAAGAAAATATAGCAATGATGGGCCTTTGTGTATACAAAACTGCAAAGTAAGGTTCATCTATATTTGAAAATCCCAACATTTCAGCAGCATCACTTTGGTCAAATGTTCTAAGATAAAGAGCATATAGCAGGGGAGAAGGAAAAGCAGCAGCAGTTACAGGGGTGCTCCTGCCAATTATTATGTTACAGGAACATCTGGCCCAGAATCAGTAAGTGACAAGAGAAAGTTCCATTTTCCAACATTAATGAATGAGTGAATAAACAAACAAACAGCTAACAGCACATCTGACAGCTTTATCCTGTTTTCCCTCTGTAAAGTTGGGGAAGCACACTATGAAACCCCCATTTGAACACCCTATCAACACACCTTAGACCAGCGGTTCTCAACCTGTGGGTCGCAACCCCTTTGGAGGTCGAACGACCCTTTCACAGGGGTCACCTAAGACCATCAGAAAACACATATATATTTATATATTGTTTTTGTGATTAATCACTATGCTTTAATTATGTCCAATTTGTAACAATGAAAATATATCCTGAATATCAGATATTTACATTACGATTCATAAGAGTAGCAAAATTACAGTTATGAAGTAGCAACGAAAATAATTTTATGGTTGGGGGTCACCACAACATGAGGAACTATATTAAAGGGTCACGGCATTAGGAAGGTTGAGAACCACTGCCTTACACCTTCTATCCTATTTTGGAATAGAGCAGAAGCTCTTTCCCAGTAGCAGCTAGGATCTCCTTATGCATTTTGAATGCAATTAAGACATTACAATAAAATAAGTTAACACATATTAATTAATTTCTCAGACCAATATGTATAATGTATGCAAATATTTGTATATTTTAGATTTAGATGCAGTATATCTCTTGGGGAAACTCTAATACCAATGCCAATACTACAACTACTTTTGATATGTAAGTAATATTTTGATATCAAAGTCAATTTGGATTATTTCTTACCTTTTCAACGTCTGCCTTCGTTGCATTAGTATCATTATCCAATCTTTCATAACTCTGTTGTGCCTTTTCTGCCTCTCTACATTCTCTTTCAAATTTCTTTTTACTCTGTGAAAATAATCAAAATATCACAGTGAGAAATAAAATTAGATTTATCCATTAAAAGAAAACTTTAAAATGCCATTGTGTATTGTGTAGAACTGCACAGTGTAAGTAAAATTTGTCTCAATTAGAAAAGAAATGTTACTATTATAATCAACCTAAGTGCCTTAAATATCAAACATTATAGGCATGACTGACAATATATATCTCATCTCTTCTCAGTAAGAAAAAAAATCATGTATTTTATAATTTTTAATTATAAGCTCATCTTCAGCAGAACTTTTTGGTTTCGTGTTTTTTGCTTGTTTTGTATGTTTGTTTGATGACCTGGTTGGTTTTGGTGTTTGCTTGTTTTTTTTATTTTTTTGGTGAGATCTCAATGTAGCTTAGATGTGGAAATGTCGCTCCCAAGTGGTTTTACGTAGTTTCTTCCAGGTGTCCCAGGAAATGCCATCAGCCCAGAACCAGGCTTTGTTAAAATTTTGTATCTAACTCTCTTGACTTTGTAAAAAAGCTATTCACAACTGCATTTCCTTTCCAGCACACTTCTTTAAATACTATAGTTAGTTTTCTTTTTAAAAATTTGCTCAGTTTCGATGTACTTTTTTGTTGTTCAATCCTTGTTTCCCCAGCTCATGAAATCTCTGCTTAGTTAATTCAAACACAACCAGAATTCTATCAATTTCATTTCCCTAATGAAATCTCTCCCAGAGTCTTTGATCTGCTGAAATTGGGACTGGTTACCAAAGCGGGCCTACCGCACAGCTGTAACCTCGGGATCTCCCTTCACCATTATCCTGGAGATTCTTTTCGCCTCTTCCTTGATTTGAACCTCCTATTTCCAAGTTCCAAACCTTCTTCCCTTTCTTGATTCACTTCTGTATTTTGCTGAAACACACTCAGCAGTGGCATCCTAAAAGAAGGTTTGTGGGAGATAATTTTTTAAGTCCCTAAGGCTGAAAATTTCTTTAATATTACTTTTAATCGATAAAATTTGGCTGGGAATGAATTCTTGAGTAGGAAACTGTCTTCCTGCAGAAATGTGAAAAGTACTATTCCACATTACTTCCTGATCTTTGGCCTGAAATCTATTTTATTTTCCCTCTTTGGAGATGGGTGGGAATCTTTTCTCTCTCATACCTGTTCTGAAATATCCTGAAGATACTGTCTTGCTGTGAAGTGGATAATCCTTTCATCTAGAAATTCAGGTCTGTCTGTTCTGGGGAAATTTTCTGGAATTATTATTGTCTTTCCATTTTCTGTCCCCCCCCCCGCCTTTTTTAGATACTCATTATTTCGAAAATCAACCTATAGAATGAGTCCTCCTATTTTCTTATATTTCCGCTCATACTTTCAATTTATCATTTTGCTCTACTTTCTGGGAGATTTCTTTATTTTCATTGTTTCAAGTGATTTTTTCATTTCTGCTATAATAATGTTCTTTTATATTCTTTGTATGTTCCTTTTCAAATAGTATCTTTTTCCTATTTCATGGATATAATATATTCCCATTGAGAATATTAATAGTTTTGGGTGTCTTGCTTATTTATTTTGCTTTTTAATTCCTATTTCCTTTCATCATCACTGTTTCAAAGTTGCTTTTTCTGGTCTTTGGTATTTACATTAGATGTTTTCTTTCAATGTCTGGGGGATCCTTGCCTATCTGCTCTGGCTTAAACTGCCAACTGAAAGCTCTACAGGTGGGGCCTGTGGATCGTGGTCTTTTCCTCAGGGTGATACAGTCAGGCAGTTTCCTGGGAGAAATCCTGGTATCCCCATCTTTCCCCTCAAGCTGGTTAGATTCCCCAGATATGACTCTTTTAATCTCTTGCCTGGAAAAATATATGCCTTGCTACCTATATTCTGAGAATTGCTCAAAAGAAAGCAAAGGATGTTAGTATTTTCTCTTTACCTAAACCCCTTGTTAGAACAGTTTCTATGTCAATTTCTTGTCTTGGGGACTATGAAGCTATACGAAAAGTGCAAGTTTGAATTCCAAACCTCCTCAGCACAAGGTCAAAGCGTTCCCATTTTTCACAGGATGCCTGTCTGCCTCCTTTGACCTTCTGACAAAGACAATTTCTCTGATGTTTCCCTCGGCCAGTGGGCAGAGTTCCACCTTTCACTACAGACTTAGTCCTTCAAAGTTTCAGCTGTTATACAGGAGCTTCTGTTCCAACTCCCACAACATACGGAACTAACATCCAACCTGCTCCGGTGCGAGAATTAAACCCAAGTCCTCACCAAGGACTGGCCACGTCCCAACACCCCTGCCCGCTTTTTTCAAATTTCACTGCATCGCTTCATACACCCATTGCTCTGGCTTTTAGTTTACCCTTAGTTTCTAGCAGTTATGAGTTTACAATAAACTCTGCTAAGAGCTTTAAAAGCAATAAAAATATTTTAGCTATTATACCTACGTATCTGTAGCCAAAGGCTTCAGAGTTAGCTGAGTTTACCATATACCTAGAACCAGACATACCTATACTTTACATCAAATAAATATGCTCTGAAATGTTTTATAAGATTCTTCAAATGTACTCACTGTTTTGATAGTACGAGCCATCAAATGGGACACTTTTAGTCAAAGCATATGAATAATATATAGAATGTCACTTTCCTGTGAAGATTAAATTTCCACATTTAATTCTCTGAAACTTAATTCAGAGCTGTGTTTTCAAATTGAGTAGCTATAGGCTACTAATTTTGTTGCAATTTGAGGCTACTAATATACAAAAGTATTTCTATATTAGGTGTCTTATTACTTATGGGAAAACACTAATTTCCTTGCAATAGCAAAAGAGTCACTAATACAATATTTAACATTTTCATTCCCTGAGAGATACTATATCTTTACACAATATAGGAATACACTCCAGAAAAGATCCTCGATTCTTCATCTTACGTGTGGCAGACTAATAAACAACCACATTTCCTCCCCCATCCTTTGTTGGAGGAGCCCACCTCCCAATATATCAACTAAAAATAGCTGATACTTGCTTTACCAGCTTCCCTACAGCTGAGGGTATGGTCAAGTAATCTAATCCTGTCAAAGGCACCCATAATGAAGTCTGCTGAGGGTTCTCTGGGAAAGTCTTCCTTCCCTGATAAAAAGGGACAGTTGGAAAAGATCTGCTCTCTTGTTCATGCGTCTGCATGCAGTGAATAAAGATGTGGAGCTTGGCTGCCTAAGTCAACTGTTGACAGTAGGGACAAGCCTCAGGAAAAAAGCCAACATGGTCAAGATGGCAAAGTGAACAGAAAGAAAGAAGGGACAGACTTTGTGGCATCACTGAGTCACTGACAACTCAGAAACTGCTCCATTTTTGAGCCCTCTTCTTACAAGCATCTAAAATCTGTTACTTGGAAATGCCTAAGCTGACAGACATGGCATCTCCAATGCTTCTATCTTAACCTCATCATGCCTTGAAGATCTTCACATGCTCTTATGCTCTCCAATTTAAATGCCAGTGCTGTGGGGGGGAGGGTTCAATTTTCAGTTCTCTGTATCTAAGTCAATCTGTCTCTCCCAGTTCTTTAAATCTCTTCCATTATTTCAAATATGTTAGGAATTTTACAATTGCATTTTCTTGATCAAGCAAGAAGACATGGAACTAGGAATTGGGATCCTGCATATGTTTCTACGTAATATACAGAAATTATAGTTGTCTGCCTCCCTCACTAGACTGCAGGCTCCACGAAAACAAGAACCATGTCACATATATTCACTTTTGTACCCCCAATACATGTCAAGGATGCCTTCAATAAACATGAATTGAGCTGAACTCACCTTTATTTCATAGTATTGTTAATGCCTTTAAAAAATCTCTCCTAAAAAAAAACAAAAAAAAAACTCTCCTACATTTTTTGATGCTTCTTTCTTATTACCCCGTAAATTTTGGTTAATAACTGCCAATTATTCTAAAGGCAAGTCAGTATATATTAACAAGAATAATTTGAGCCAACACTAGTTTTTAAAGGGACCAATGACTCATAAGTGTAGGAGTCTATTTTTTGTGCAGATGAAAACACAAACACTCACACTCATCGGGTGGAAGATACCAAAGATGTTAGTTAAGGCAATTTAAAATTTAATAAACGTAAACACTCCCTAAAAGTCTTGCTGAGACCAATTAAAGAGAAGATCCAAACAAAAATAAAGACAGACTATTAATACACCTAAGAATTCTCAATTAGCACTGATTACATCAATGACAGTTACATAGTAGAAATTTTTTGAAATTCAAAAATTTTAAGACAAAAATTTTTTTAAAGGAAAAAGGCTAAAAATAGTGCATAAATGCATGAGTTATTTTTAACCTCAAACTTAAAGGTCCTTTTCCCAACAACCACAAACTAAATTGCTTAATTTAACATGAAAAAATCTCAAGCATAATTTTCAAGGAATACATAGTGTCCATCATAAAAATATGCAGGCAAAGAGCAAACTGTTTGTTAATCTGAGGGCTCAAAAAGAATATTAATCTTATACTACAGAACTTTTGGTAGGGCATTTTAAGTAAAGGAGAAAGGAGACAACAATGTTCCATGTAGACATCTTATTTTTCAAGTGACTACATTTTTTTAAAAAACACATTAGCAAGTACCCTTGGAAAGTTTTTAAGAAAATTATTACTATGATATTACAATTTTGCCCTACCTACAGAGTACTTTATTTTCTACAATGAGATGGTCTATGACAGCAGCCAGCCTAGTACTAGGAATAGTTACATTATTACAGAATCACTGAATTGGAAGAAATGTTTCATATAAGCAAGACTGCTCTTCATTTTTCATACGCTAAATATGAAGTCAACAAAAATCAGGTGCTCAGTAAGAGACAGAACTAGAATTTAAGTCCTCTCAGACTCAGTAAAATGGTCTCCTAAGATACATCACTGTTTCCCTATTACTTCTATCTTATAACAATATTTTATAGCAACTACTGCAAAGTCCAAAAGAATCTTCCTTAATATTTACAATTATCTCAATATTATAGAGATTAGGGGCCCGGTGCATGAAAATTCATGCACTGGGGGGGGGGGGGGGGGGAGGGTCCCTCAGCCAGGCCTGTCCCCTCTCACAGTCCGGGAGCCCTCAGGGGCGGGAGGCGACCCAGCCACCAGGGGAAGGCGACGCCCCCATCACACCTCTGCTGCTGCCACTGCTGGCAGCGCAAGCCTCGGCCGGCCCTGGTTACCTGAGCCTTGGGAGGCCAACATCCGAGGCTTGCCTATGCCTTGGGCCAGCCCTGGGTGGCTGGGCAGTCGCCATCCAAGGCTTGCCTGCACCTCAGGCTGGCCCTGGGCGGCTGAAGGGCTGAAGGGACTGGGGGACTCTGGAGGCAAGGCTGAGGGGACTGGGCGCCGCTACCTTGTGGCTGTGGGCACTGCCATCTTTGAGGGCGTGACAGTCAATTAGCATATTCCCTCCTTATTGGATGTGGGCACTGCCATCTTTGCATGGCGTGAGGGTCAATGACCATATTCCCTCTTTATTAGATAGTATGGTACAAGTATAAACTCATACAGAAAAAAACAATGATCTCACAGTCTCTATTTATACCAATGTCAAATTATGAAAAATACATTGAGAAATATTAAAGTTAAATAGATGTAAGAAATAAGAAAATTTAGGACAAACAACTCTAAAAATTTCATGTTAACCATGAAACACTATAACTTACATTATCCATCTGTTTCCAGCACATGTCAAGATACTGTTGAGCTTTTCGTCCCTCTTGGAGATGCTGAAGATCATAACAACCAAAAACACAAAACAAACAAAACTTACATTTAAATAAAGTCTAAAGTCTTAAAAAGGCTTTTCACTTTATTTTTGCAAGATTCTAATTATATAACTTTATCAAAATTTAATACGAAATTTTAGTAAAGCAAAATTCTCTAAAATACATTTTATAGAAAAATATTTGAATATTTTAAATATAACTTAAGACACATATAATCTCTAAGAAAATACATGACTTTCTTGAGTGGGGGCTGACAAATGTTTTCTATAAAGGGTCATATAAATATTTTAGGCTTTGCAAGCCATGTGGTCTCTGTTGCAACTCTGTAATGTAATGCAAAAGCAGCCAAAGGCAAAACATAAGTAAATGAGTGTGAGTCTGTTACAAAATAACGTTATCTATTAGGCACAGAAATTTTAATTTCATGTAATTTTCACGTCATAAAATATTATTCTTTTGATTTTCTTTTCAATTATCTAAAAATGTAAAAACCTGCTCAGCCTGCATGACTCAGTAGTTGAGGGTCGCCCTATGAACCAGGAGGTCACAGTTCAATTCCCAGTCAGGGAATATGCCTGGGTTGTGGGCTCGTTACCAATGTGGGGCCTGCAGAAAGCAGCCAATCAATGATTCTCTCTCATCGTTGATTTTTCTATCCCCCTCTCCCTTCCTCTCTGAAATCAATAAAAATATATTAAAAATAAATATAAATATAAAAAACAGTCTTAGCATATGAGAACTAGGAACAAAATCAGGTAGTAGACTAGATTTAGCTTACATAGTTTACCAAACCTTCATCCTGAATCCAAAAGGATCACTAATTAGCAAGATAATCGTGAGATAATTTTAACTAGAAGCAATACAGTGAAATAGAAAACTAGTTTATACAGAATATATATTATTTTAAAGAACAAAGTTATTATTTTATTTGAGTGAAAATATTTCAGATATATTATAGCTGGATAAAAACAATAATTACCATTTTTCTTTCAGTTTTCAGATCATGAGCATATCTCATTAATTCACCATAAACTCTGTGTGCCATTTCTTCTGCTACTACTTCTCGCTGTCCTGCATAGTCGTTTAACTCGTTAAGGATGTTAAAAAAGGCTACACATGAAGTAAACCTGACAAAAACATATTTAAAAATGATGAAATTTATTTTTATTTTCATTACAAATATTTTTGTGAGGAATGCATTGAGCCTGACACTTGACAAATTTTAATTACCTAAATCTTAGCTACTAGCTCTAAATTAACTTTGTATGGAAATAATCCTGCATTAAGTTCAAGCTGTACATGTATATATATCTTCATGTAGTCTTAATTTATAAATAAAGGGATATTTGGGGTAAAAAAATATAAGACTACTACCTGCAGGTTCTTTGGCAAACTGAAATCTCTTAAGTTGCCAATTGACTGGCCTGAGCTTGGAAATGAACTTGGTTAGATTCCTAGGCTTGGCAGCTAAACCTGTTGCAGAGATGATGGGCTTGCTCTCAAGGACAGAATCTGCCAATCATACCCCTTAAATGCATCTCAAGGGCTGATCCACAAAACAACATTACTATCAGTTCTGGACAACAGCTGCCTGTATAACTGCCCACATCCTAAATGGACATGAAGTACCATATGTTGGCATCAAAGGAGGAGTGGTAGGTAAGAAGGGACCACAAAAGGGGGGGGTGGGGAGAATGACTGTGAAGGGACAGAGAAAAATAAAGAGAATCACTGTATTAAAACATAGACCTACGTTGAATATACTATGCTAAACACACAGCTGAAGGTGAATGTTCAGACAGGATTGCATTAACATTATACCTGAGAATCCTAACAATTCACAATTATACAGAAAGTTGTTTAAGTCTAGTCTCTTTTGTTTCTGCATTTTACAGCCATCCACATATTCCTGTTTAAGACTGTCAAAAGCTCACAGTCAATTCATAATCTTTTACATATTCAAGGTTCCAAAATTACTGTCCTTTTCATTATCCCTTTAAACCAGCCAGCCAAATTGTTTTATTACTTGTAAGAGAAAAGAAGCTAGTAACTAACTGACAACTACAAGATAAATATGGAAAAAATACTCTTTTCTTCTAGAGACTAAATTACTCAAGTGGGGTCTTAGTCTACACCTTACTTGGAAACCCACACATCAACTATTCTAGATAACTATTATCAAGTCTCAATATTAAAGTATTCATTCTTATAGAAATAACAGTAGTTCCCCTTCATAAACATTTATTTTTTAAGACAAACTTTATAAAATCTTTATGAAAAGCTAAGAGCATGCTTACTTAACAAAAAAAAGTGTTTTTAAAATTTTTAATATGCAATAATAAACAGGTATATAATTTACCTTGGTTCTTCATCTTTGGAGGAACGTTTGGGACAGTACTTCTTAACCAAATTTCTATAGGAAAAAGATTTTTTAAAAATTTATAAGACATATTCTAGTTGAAATTGAAATATTCTAAAGGTTTCCAATTTTATTAAATAATTTAATGATATAAAACAATTAAGAGCAACATGATATCTACTATCATTAACATATAATCATTGCTTATATTTTTAAAAAATACACCTGTAGAAAGAAATGTTATTTCTGTATTTATATAAGTACTAGAGGCCCGGTGCACAAAAATTTGTGCACTGGGGGGGGGGGGGGGTCCCTCAGCCCGGCCTGTGCCCTCTCACAGTCAGGGACCCCTTGGGCGATAATGACCTGCTGGCTTAGGCCTGCTCCCGGGTGGCAAAGGGGAGGCCCAATCCCTAGGTGCAGCCCCTGGTCGGGCTCAGGGTAGGGCCGATTGGGGGGTTGGGGCACCACCCCCTGTCACACTCAAGGCAGGGTTGATGGGGAGGTTGCGGCGCCACCCCCTGTCACACACAGAGCAGGGCCAATCAGGGGGGTTGGGGCTCCGTACCCTGTCACACACAGAGCAGGGTCAATCAGGGGATTGGGGAGCTCCCCCTGTCACACACAGAGCAGGGCCCATCAGGGGATTGGGGAGCTCCCCCCATCACGCACAGAGCAGGGCCGATCAGGGGGTTGAGGAGCTCCCCCCTGTCACTCACAGAGTAGGGCCGATAGGGGAGCTGGGGCACCGCCCCCTGTCACACACAGAGCAGGGCGGATCAGGGGGTTGGGGCGCCGTACCCTGTCACACTCAAGGCAGGGCTGATGGGGAGGTTATGGCTCTACCCCGTCACACACAGAGCAGGGCCCATGGGGGGCGTTTGGGGCACCGTCCTCTATCACCCACAGAGCAGGGCCGATCAGGGGGTTGGGGCGCTGCCACTGTCACACTCAGGGCAGGGCCGATGGGGAGGTTATGGCTCTACCCCGTCACACACAGAGCAGGGCCCATGGGGGGGGGGTGGGTTGGGGCGCTGCACCCTCACACAGAGCCGCAGGGCAATCAGGGGGTTTGGGCACTGCCCCCTGTCACGCTGATCCCGGTGCCAGAAGGCCTCGCAGCTCCGCTGATCCCGGTGCTGGGAGGCATATTACCCTTTTACTATATAGGATAGAGGCCTGGTGCATGGGTAGGGGCCGGCTGGTTTGCCCTGAAGGGTGTCCTGGATCAGGGTGGGGGTCCCGCTTGGATGCCTGGCCAGCCTGGGTGAGGGGCTGATGGCTGTTTGCAGCTGGTCACACCCCCTTCAGGGTGGGGGTCCCTACTGGGGTGCCTGGCCAGTCTGGGTGAGGGGCTGAGGGCTGTTTTCAGGCTGGTGGGTGACTGAAGCTCCCAACCACTCTTTCTCTTTTTTTTTATTCTGGGCCAGCTTTAGCTCTGAGGCTCAGCTGCTGAAAGCAGGTATCTGGTTTGTTTAGGTTCTATAATCGAAACACTGTTTCAACTCCAGCTCTGAGATCCCGGCTGGCTGAAAGCAGGTTTCTGGGGTTTTGTTTAGCTTCTATATTTGTAACAATGTTTCAAACTGCAAGCTCAGAGGCTGGCAGCAGCAGGCGGGGAATGTTGGAGTCCTCCGTCACTGGAGCAAGCAAGCCTCATGTTCGCTTCAAGCTGCCTGGCTGCCGGCCGCCATCTTGGCTGGCAGTTAATTTGCATATTGCCCTAATTAGCCAATGGGAAGGGTAGCGGAGGTACGGCTAATTACCATGTTTCTCTTTTATTAGATAGGATAATTGTAACAAGTTGGTTGATTATGCAATCAAATAAAAAAAGAGCCCTGGCCATGGTGGTTCAGTTGGTTGGCATCCTCCCTGGGACTGAAAGACTATCAGTTCAATTCCCAGTCAAGGCACATGCTTGGGTTGCAGGCTCAATCCCAGGTAGGGAGCATGCAGGAGGTGGCTGAAGGATGTCTCTCTCTTTCCCTCTCCCTTCCTCTCTCTTAAAAAAAAAAAAATCAACAAAAATATTTTTTTAAATAAAAGAAATAAAAAAGAAGTACTCCCCCACCTCCTTAGGAGAGAAATACACTTGCACTGCAAGCAGAAGGGGGAGAAAATGGGGAAAAAAGAAAGAAAGGGAAAAAAATTGCCCCTGCCTTCCTAACATAGTTTTCCAGAACTGTACATACACAGCATATTCAAGTGAATATAACCCTCACATTCACAAAATTTGGCAATCATCCTACACTTTATCAAGTTTCTCCCACTGTAAGGTGTTTAAGTCCTATAGATTCTATTTACTGACTTTTACTTAACTTTTTGTGATAATTTTTATAATGAAAGGGGGAATATATTACACAAGAAGGAGCCTCTTCTTCACACTATTTTTTAAAACATATTTTTATTGATTTTAGAGAAAAAGGGAGAGAGGGAGAGAGGGAGGGAGGGAGGGAGGGAGGGAGGGAAGGGGAGAGAGAGAGAGAGAAAGAGAAACATCAATGATGAGAGAATCATTGATTGGCTGCCTCGTGCATGCCTCCTACTGGGGATCAAGCCTGCAACCCAGGAATGTGCCCTTGACAAGAATTGAACCCGGGACCCTTCAGTCTGCTGGCTGATGCTCTATCCACTGAGCCAAACCAGCCAGGGCTTCTTCACACTTTTTTAATGCATTGGATACAGATGTGTGAGGACAGGATGACTGAAGCTAATGCAACATCTTTCAATCATGAGTGGGAAGACCAAGAAATTCACAAGAATGCCCTGATAATCACTAAGCTTTAGAATCCCATTTCCAAACTTCTTTTTGTATGACTCTTATTTGAAGCTGAACGCTCCTATAGAAAAGCTAAGTAAAAACATACAATTAAAAAATGTAGCAAAAACTGGAACTCTAAAAGAAACTTCTTGGATCAAGATACAAATGTGAGTCAGCATGTGTGAGGACAATAAAAAATAAAAATAAAAAATTTTAAAAGCCCAGCTGGCATGGCTAAGTGGTTGAATATCGACCTAAGAACCAGGAGGTCAGGTTCAATTCCAGGTTTCAGGCTTGATCACCAGTAGGAGGTCATGCAGGAGGCAGCCAATCAATGACTCTCTCTCATCACTGATGTTTCTATCTCTCTCTCCCTCTCCCTTCCTCTCTGAAATCAATACAATTTAAAAAAAACAAAAAAAAAAAAAAAAAAAACTACTGTTGACCCTGAGAATGAATATACCTGTTAAGAAGGACTTTTTGAACTCAAATTTAAAAATGGATCCTAGCAGCCATTTCCAAACAGAGGCCTCTCATACAAGCTGTGTTTCTGGGAAAAACCTGCCCCGAGTTCTTGCTAGCTGAATCAACCCTTATTATAAAGGAGTTCCTAGAATCATATTTCAACCAATAAGACTGAGATTTTCCCCATCCAATCGGAGCTGTACGTCTTCACAGGCCAATCAGAATAGTGCTTTCTGGACCAAAATGTGAGGATTTGGAGTCCTCATTTGCATGATAACAAACCAATCAGGGACCAGGGACCAGGACTACAGAAGTCAATCCCAAAATTTGTGTTGTAATTCTAGGGTGGACATGTTCTCTTTCTGCTGAAGTTAAAATGATAAGTATAATCCTAGAGTCACCATGTGGGAAAAGTGTACTTGGAAATTTAATCAACAGAGAGGAAAGCAAAAACAAAAGGAGAAAAATTAACACTTTCTGAAAACCCAGGTACCTGAACTTTATAGTCACACAAGCCAATGAATTTCTTTCTCTGCTTAAACCAATCTGAGCTGAGATTCTGACACTGGAAGAAATCATGACTACCATAGTCATAGGTTAACCGAAAGTCTTAACACATCTTAACTACAGCATAAACAACACTAATGTGAACTCTAGCTTCTGGGAGGAAGAGCACAAGAATCACAGGAGGGAGAGAAAGGAAAAGAAAGTAAATTTACCTTTACCTTTTGACCATACAGTTAGTTCTCAACAATTTTTTTTTAATTATTCTTGCCTTTCTTTATGTAAAAGTCACCCATCTATTAGCAACTCTCCCCAAACCCTAAGTCTCCAGAGCCTTCAAAAACAATACACAAGCCAATCCATCCAAGCCAATCCTGCCAACAGAAAACAATAGCATGTTCCAAAATGTTCCTCTTGTATTCCACCAAGTCAAAATTTATATCCTAGGAAAACATGTTCTGAAAGAAGACACAACAAATTATTTCATACTCATTTCTAGGGAGAGAATCTGGGAAGGGACTTGAAATTAAATGTGTTACAATGATCACATACCGTTTGTGTAGTATGTTTTTTTAATTATAAAATTATACAAAAAAAATTTATCTCTCAAAGCAGCTGATCTCAGTTGGGCCTTCTAAGAGAAGTCTAAAGTCATCAAAAATTCATATCAAGGTTTGAATGGTTAATAATACCCACAAATCCCTGCTTTGCAATTTTAACATAATATGCTTATTAGGTCAAATAAATCTCAGATGATTTGCCTTAAATACAAGGTGGGGCAAAAGTAGGTCTACAGTTGTTCATATGGCAAATAATACAACAATTAATAAATAATAACACAGAATAAACTGTGTTTCATGTACTCACAATTGTATACCTACTTTTGCCCCACACCCTGTATGAAAGTGTGAAGCACTTGGGTTGCTCCTGAAACAAAAATATGTTAGACAATTCATCTCTCTGTCCCATAGTAGCAGTTTCCCTAGGCTATTTTTTTCCCCCAGAAACTTTTCCTCTCTTCTATGCCCAGAGATTCTCCAAGTAACCAATTACAATAGCAGTTTATATATAAGGCATGCTTTTTTAACAGGGTGTTATAAATCAGGAATTAACTGAAACAAAGTTTTATATGCATACAATACATATTATAGAAATTATAATAGATGTCATAGTATGTTGGTACTTTTGATGTATTTCATCCATGTTTTCTAAGTACCTTAGGATCATGCACTCTGGATACAGAGAATTAACATTGTTTCTTCAGTGGTCTGAGAAGGTTCCTAAATGTAATGAGCTTCTCCAAAGATTACAGTGTTATTTATAT